ACACACAGTGACACCACACACAGTGACCCCCACAGTGACCCCCACACACAGTGACCCCACACACAGTGACCCCACACACAGTGACACCCACACACAGTGACCCCCACACACAGTGACACCCACACACAGTGACCCACACACAGTGACCCCCACACACAGTGACCCACACACAGTGACCCCACACACAGTGACACCCACACCCAGTGTCCCCCACAGTGACCCCCACACACAGTGACCCCCACACACAGTGACCACACACACAGTGACACCCACACACAGTGACACACACACACACACAGTGACACACACACAGTGACCCTCACAGTGACCCCCACACACAGTGACCCCCACACACAGTGACACCCACACACAGTGACCCCACACACAGTGACACCCACACACAGTGACCCACACACAGTGACACACACACACAGTGACACCCACACACAGTGACACACACACACACAGTGACACACACACAGTGACCCTCACAGTGATCCCACACACAGTGACCACACACACAGTGACCCTCACAGTGACCCCCACACACAGTGACACCCACACACAGTGACCCTCACAGTGACCCCCACACACAGTGACACCCACACAGTGACCACACACACAGTGACACCCACACACAGTGACCCTCACACACAGTGACCCCCACACACAGTGACCACACACACAGTGACCCCCACACACAGTGACCCCCACACACAGTGACCCCCACAGTGACCCCCACACACAGTGACACCCACACACGGTGACCCCCACACACAGTGACCCCACACACAGTGACCCCACACACAGTGACACCCACACACAGTGACCCCCACACACAGTAACCCCACACACAGTGACACCCACACACAGTGACACCCACAGTGACCCCCACAGTGACCCCCACACACAGTGACCCCACACACAGTAACCCCACACACAGTGACACCCACACACAGTGACACCCACACACAGTGACCCCCACACACAGTGACCCCACACACAGTGACCCCCACACACAGTGACCCCACACACAGTGACACCCACACACAGTGACACCCACACACAGTGACCCCACACACAGTGACACCCACACACAGTGACACCCACACACAGTAACCCGTACAAAAATATCCCCCGTACAGCCTTATCAGACTGTCGGGACGAGTGCTGTTAGCGAACACCTATGAAGGGCGGCACGGCAAACGAGGGGGTGGGAGGCCAACACCACGCCCGACCGTCTTTGTCTCCCTAGTGACGATGTTTACACATCGCCCCAGGTACTGAATTGAGGCTGAGTCGACCTACGGGAGGCCCAAGGCTGGTTTGAAATCGTCGCTGGCGTTGGCCGTGAGCGGGAATCGAACTCGGACCGCCGGGTTCGTAGCGCAGCGCAGTGCTAACCGCTGCGCCACCGCTCCCCACAATGCGGAGTCGAACTGGAGCCGGACGCTGGCGCGGAAGGCAACTCGCGGCGTCGCTCATATTTGTCCCCCTTTGTCGAGTGTTTTGATCGAGGGAGGGAAGAGGACATTGTCCTCCCGCCTCAAAGGCCCCACGCACGGCGCAGATAAAGTTGCCATCTGTTGGTGGCTCTTGCTGCGGTTGACATCAGCGCAGCTGAAGCAGCAAAGTCAATGGCAGCGCGGCGAGGCGGCGGCGGCGGCGGCCCCACGTCCCGCGGGCCCGAGCCTGCGACCCCGCGCACAGACAAAGGGCCGCCGCACCCGCCGGTGGCCCGGTGGCCCGGTGGTGGCGACTCGGGCCCAACAGGCCGGCTGCCCCCCCCCCACCCCTCCCCCAACCCTCGCCTGGCCCTGGCCCCCCCCATCCCCCCCGATGGGAGCGTCACCCCCAGGCCACCGCCAAACACTCCCAGCCGCGGGCGGCCCGAGCCCCCCTACCCGCGGCGCCAGCAGTCGGCGCGCACCCCCAACCCCGACCCCTTCGGCGTGGGACACAGGGTCCCACGCGGAGCGCATTCGCGCCGGGGCAGCGCTCTCTCCTTCTCCTTCTCTCTCTTCTCCTTCTCTCTGTCTTCTCCTTCTCTCTCTCTCTGTCTTCTCGGCGCGAGCTCCGCGTATGAGACGCGGCTCGCGAATAATTGGATGCGAGTTTTCCGAGCCCAAACCGCGCTCCGCCGCGTGCTTCCAGTGTCGCCGCGCATCATCCTCGCGCGAGTGAGGAAGATGGATCGCGGCACTCTCCCTCTCCCTCTGCACTTGCGACATTAATAAAGCGCCGGGGCCGAGCGAGAGAGGGCGCGCGTTGTTTTGTCCCCAAGTGTCATCATACTGCAGGCCATTGTGCGCCGCGCCTGTGTGGAGAATTTCTGAGGAATTCATATGCATATGCGTGCGCATGATGACAGCCCCCTCCCGCTCCCTGTCTGCCCAGGGCCTCTCTCGCCTGCTCTGCAGATGGTTTTGAGCGACCGCGACTACAAAACCTGTCACTCGCCAAAGCGAGGGTGGGGGGCCGCGGGTCTCCGAGCAGAGAGAGGGGGGGCAGGGGGGTTGTCCGGCCGAATGGGACCTGCCTTTGTCTGGATGTTTAAAGTTGTGGTGGCTTTCATCTCCAGCGCCGGAGTCAAGGGACAGAGTGGATGGATCGCCTCCGGAGACGCCGCGACTCGGGGCTTTACCTCTGCCATTCAAACTGCGTTCTCGCCGAGCGCGGATATTAAAGATAGATTATAAAACGGGAAACAATGACCAGCGTCGCTTGCGTAAGAACTTCAACACAATAAACAGGCACAAGATTCGCCCACGCGCGTCTCCTTCGCACGCTGAAGGGATACACTCGCAGAGTGGCTGATGGGAGGCGCATAGTCTACGTATTGATCCTCTTACAGAGGATATGTATATATGTATGAAGAGTTATAACAAGTTCGAACAAGATTGCCAGACTGACTGCTCTGGTAGTTGTGAGCAAGCAGAAATGATTTGGCCCTGGCTGCCCACCGTCTGGGCGCCGTGTCCGTGGGTTTGTGCATCAGCCCCAAAAGCGGACAAGCAACAATGCGGAGTCGATGCTGCTCTAGTGACCGCACACAGCAGGGTTGTGGAGACCAGCGGGTTCGTTCTGTTGCTCATATGGACAAAGGGAACGTTGTTTCGGACGGATTCCCTAAATCAACAAGCGAAAATATGCACATATCTGTTCCTCGACGTAGATACGGAGCGTTTTGCATGGAACTCGGAACCATATATTATACAGAGGGCCCTTGCCGATAAACAACTGGCAGTTCACAAGCATTGGCTCAAGGCGAGACCGACTCTGCTGATGAGATACTAAGTGTCAAAACCGGTCCGGTTTGCGCGTGTAGAACCAATGCTGCTGAGATGCACTCCCAGAAGGCCGTGTGGCTGATGCGCGGCGTGTAAAAAGTTGTATTTCTGTGGAGAGGTCGGGGAAGGCGGCGATTTGTGTGCTTTTTTTATTTGACTGACAGTGGTCGAGATCAGACTCGGCACGTTCTGCTCTCGTCTGCTGCAGTGGCCGGGAATTGCACGGATCAGCGCAGCTCGCGTGATGGCCGAGGAGCACTTGCAGCGTCCTCGCGGTGTCCACTCGACCCACAACCTCCTACTCCCACGTTGACTGTTCCATCTCATCCTCTACCGCGTCACAACCACCGTGACCACACTGCAGGCAACGACACTTCTCTCTGCTTCGTCCCTTTCCCATCGTCTTCTCTCAAGCTCTTAAAATCACACTGCTCAATGCAAGGTGATTTTAAGAGGCACGCTTCTGAATGTTTGTAGGACGTCCTCAGACGAAGACGATTATTAGGTGAATTACATCAAGATCCAGTCATGTCCGCGAGTTTATTTGAAAGGGCCGGACAAGTTGAAAGCTACATTTGTATTCCACGTCTACATAAACATACCACACAAGTGTATGGAATTTTACACGACAGGGCCCAGCAGTAGCACGGTCGTCGTTGTCAAGGGATGCAGTTCGAGTTAGTGGGCCACCCTGGTTAATACTTGGGTAGTAACCATAAAAAAAGAACGTGCCGTCTGCATCACAGTGGATGCGAGCGAAGCAAATGAATCGATTGCGAAACACAGCAATCATCGCCCCCTGCTGCGGAAACTCAATAGGACTCTCAAGACCAGTCGCCTCCTCAGCGAGGCTTTCCCGGGTAAACAAGCGAAATAAAGCAAAAATAAATAAAAAAAAATCCATTCTGTATCCTTGATTCCCAGTCCCCCACTTCGTGTAGAGGAACCTGCTATAAAACGTATCAACTTTAACGGCTCCGAATCCTGTAAGAAAATAAATGGCACCGTCTGCATCAAACGCGGTGCTCGTCACACGGTGCGATGTTAGAACCTCAGCAAGCTGCACGATACAGCTGTCTCTGGAGGGGGTGTTGCGCGGATGATTTTCCGGAGTGAAACGACTGGAAAACCGCACCTTGTAAATCACGTTTTGAATCATTTACTTTTGTTAACGGCGCAACTATTGGTGGAAGCGAGAATGGAGCAGGCGTGTTGGGTTGTTAAACGATAACCGGTAAACGTTTTCAGAATCGGTTACCGATTCCAGAAGTCGGGCACCAACGAGCTGGAAAGGTATTTGGAACGAGCTGGAAAGGTATTTGATCTACTCTTCCAGGCTTACCAGATGTGTTTTGACAGAGGTGGGCATAACCACACTTTACCCCGCCACATGTGACCTGCCGATTGACAGTTCATTTTAAAAGTAAAAATGTTACGTTTACTGCTCTGTACGTTTCCTTGTGTGGCGTACCGGTGACCGGGGTTTCCCATGAGGCGACTGGTAACACAAGAAACTCCCTTCAAGTGTCCTGGTGTAACCCTACCCACCTATATCAGCCCTTGCACATTTTCAAAAATAGCAAGCATCTCTGCAGGAAGTGTGGATGCGTAATTAAGGAAAGCATGCGCATTACAACAAAGTGTCACTTTGCAAAACAACTAAAAGTGAAAATTAAAGTGCAAATAAAAATAAGGCAAGAGGGTGAGGAGTAGGGGCACGTGGAATGGCAGTCAATTTATTTCCAGTGTAGATAGCGTCTCCGTTTGAAAGTCGATCGTTGTGATACAGCATTACGTAGCATATATTAATTTTACATGCAGCTTGTTATTATAGTGTCAGGTTACAGCTCTTTTCCTTCTGACAAACATGAACTATATACATGCTTACATTTACAAACCCTATTGCAATTATATGACGGCGAAGTGTAACAATGTACAAAGTTAGTAGTTTTTGTTCGGTTTAAATACGGAATTTACTTTACATCTGCAGCTCTAGCGTTGCCATCTCATGGCCAAACTTAACACTGTTCAACAAATAAATACGCAACTATACATTAAAGCAAACAGGGCCAGCAGCCGAGGCCGTGGGCTCGCTCCATCAACTTCAGCATCGGAAATGGCACTTTTAAAATCTTAATGCAAGGTGCTGGGGATTGCCACCCCTCGCCGTGAAACCACGGCACAGAGGGAGGCCCACTCCCCCAGGGCATAGAGAAGGGCCCCCTACGGCACAGAAGGGCCAGCCCCCCTCCCCAATAGCCCCGCAAGCCCAGCGCCACTCAGCCACGCCTCGACCTCACGAATTTTGCATAGTAACCTCGTACAAAAATATATCCGGCCATTCTAGCAACAGCTGCTAAATAGTAACCTTTTAACCGCTGCGCAAAATGTCGTGGTGTTATTTACACGGCAGCCGGTGCTTGTAATTGGCGCTATACATGGCATGGTACGCGTCTACATTTCCCCGTGACTTAACATCAAAATATAAGACAATAGAGCAGTGAAACTAGAGACAACGCCAGCAGCAGACTACTTTCCCTTGTGAGTCAAGATCACTTTGGCAATTTTGTACATATCCACACTCGCTGGCACTCATTTGGTTGGGCTTGCTCCAATTAAATTGCCACCTGCGGGGCCACCAATCCCATCAGGAGGGCATTTGTTAAAATGTTTAGTTGATGCCCGGAGCTTAAAACACCTGTAGCCCATTTCTCCAGTGCCCCACACGCTCAACAAAACCTTGCGCATCTCACGCTTCCTCTTTGCTGGGAATTGTGTATGTGGACACACGGGTGAAAACTTTTTGATTTGCTCGGCATGTAATATAAAAATCCCTTACCCACACGCTAAGTGAAGTTAAAAGCTAGCTATAAATATGAATGCACAGAATGCTTTGATCCCTAATAATATATACTATGGGTAGAGCAGCACTGGTGGCCACATGCACGGTGCCAGCCAAAAGCCTGGCCCATACTCAAGGTCGCACAGGCCATGCCATCCACGCCCCTGGCCCTGAAGCGATGTGCTCAAGCTTAGGGTTGTTAAACACCAACTGGTTCAGAATCAGTTACCGGTTCCTGACACGTATAACCAGTTACCGATCCTTATGGAATTTGGCAGGCGTGAACGTAGGCCTACGCCGCTGCGTGGTGTATTGCTGCTCGTTTCTCAGTTAAAAGATTAAGGCGGGGCTCTAGAATTGCTGGTTTACCCCCCCCCCCCCCCCGCTGGTGGAAGAGCCCCCAATGTAGGGGGCTCTAGGGGTTATTTGGTCTACTCTTCCACGCTGTCCAGCCGTGTTTGAAGAGGTGGGATGATGCCCACACTTTACCCCACCAGACACTACCTGCCCAATGGCTAACTGCGGTGTAACTCCTTTATACCACTAGGTGGACAGTGGCGGTGGCAGGGGGGATTTGAGAAACGTTGCACCATTGCTTCAATAGATGCGCTGGGAGATAGAATCGTACTGGCAACGACTGGATTGCAAGTCCAGTGTTCTAACCGTAACGCCATTGTCGTAGCTCTCATCGTTTCCTCAGTTTAGAAGCTAAATCTGTTACGTTTATTGCCAGACATTATGTTAATAGGGGAGGCAAACCGGTAATGTTTTGACTGTATAACAACCCAACCACAGCTTCATGTGCCCAATTCAGATGAGACAGAAGTCTACTTGATTAAGTCTACCTGTGTCCGTCCGTCCAGCTGTGTGGACAGAGAACATGCACGCTCGCACACAGAACATGCACGCGCGCACACAGAGGATGGCCCAGGAGTGAGCGAGCGAGCTTGGGCGAGGCCTTCAAAAACACGAGCCACCATGCTCACGGCGATTGGTCCACACGTCACTTGTAACTATGTGTTCAACTGCTAAAACAAATTAAAACTTCGGTATGCTGTTAGGTTTGTTTTAAAAGTACAATGTAAAAATAAAACGCAGTTTTTTTTCGTTAGAGTAAGAAAATAAGGTCTGAAGTGTTTTCACGCCACATAGAAAAATGTTAGCCAACCAATTTGCTCAGTCGAATGTAGCGTACGAAATGCACCGCGCATAATTAGTGTAGGAAACCACCAAGCTAAAACATCGCAGCGTCCACTATATACTTGTGCTGTAGTTTCTAAAAATACCACAATGATAGAAAAACTAATAATGTAAATTAAAAAAGTTGTTTTTAATGAATGATTGATGCATATGTGCCCCAGGCAGGTAAATGCTTTCACAAGTACTGGTAGAAGCGCGAGGTTAACACCTGCTGCTGCGTGAGTTTATGAGGGCGGGGGTCCCCGGGCCGGGGTTCGGCCTTGTACACGTTAGCATTGTCATCGCCGTGTGAGCCAGGAGGCCCTGGGGCAAAGGGGGCCTCTTCGGAAAGGAGGCCAGCACGCCTGAGAGGCAGGGCCGAACTTGTGGCTGCCTCTTCGGGCCTCTCTACCAAGAAGCCCACCGTCCCGCCGTCCAGATCGGTGCTGCTGCCACGCAGCCGCTCCCTCTCAATCCAGCCCGAGATGCAGAAATCCTGCGAGCGGCATTTTGGCTTCAGGCGGTCGACGGCAGAGAGATTCTCCTCTTTTCTGGGCTGCAGCAGCGGCGGCGGCGATTTTGGGCGCCCCCCCGCGTGGCTCTCCCCACCCTCCCGCCAGCCCTCCAGGTCCCTGTGGCCTCCGAGCGTGTGTCGCCGCTTGATGTCGGCCTTCTTCGATTCCGCCGGTTTTTTTCTGGTCCCAAACATGTCGTCGGCCGAGATTTTCAGGCGGCTCTTCAGACGGTCAGTGATCTGCGGCCTCCAGTGCAGGGCCGGCTCGCTGTGGCCCGCCACCGGCAGAGTCTCGCTGCTCGCGGACCGTACTGACGTCAAACTGGAGCTCGACTGCTCCGCAGCGGACTTGGCATCGCAATCTTGTTCCGAAATCTTAAAGGGATTCTGCGCAACGTCCTGCTTCTTCGCGGGACCTGCGCGCTTGCGTCCGCTGTGCTTGCGTGCCAGGGTGTCGCACTCGATCAGGCGGTAGGAGTTGAATGTTTTCTGCCGGGACGAGCCGCCGCCGATCCCTCTGTCAGTGCCGGCCACGCTCTCGCGCGAGCTCACAGGGGAGCCGTCCAGACGGGATCCGCGGCCGCTCCCACTCACGAGGCGTTCGTCGTCCGAGTCGTGCGTGCCGCCGACCTCGCTCACCAGCTCGCTCTGCTCGTCGTCCGCCTCCTCGTCGCGGGACTCGCTCAAGCTGCGCGCATCCTCCGTCGCGGCAGCCGCCTCCCAGCACGGGAAGTTGCTCGAGGAAGTTGTGGAATAGTCGGACGTCACCGAGTTTGCATCGGTTATCGCCGTGTTCTCGTACAGCTTCAAATCGGAGAACCTGGGCACCGCTGCAGCTGTTTTTGGGTACCGGTGTCGAGGAAAGGAGAGCGGTCCACCATCGCCTCCGCCAGGCCGCTCGTCGGCCAAGCAGGGCCCAACAACAAAGTCCTTATGGGCCTTCGGCTGCCTTGGCTGGCTGGAGAGAAAGGCCTGGCTTGACATGCCATGATTTGGGCCAGCGTGGGAAGAAAAGCTGCCACCCAACGTGGGGCTGGAAGTCGATTTGCACGTCAGGCCAGACGCTCTGCTCAGGGGCTCCCTGTGTCCGAGCGCAAGTGCGGCGTCGCTCAACCCGGCGGCCTGCGGAAGCTCTGAGCATCGGTTGGCATGGGGATTGTAAACTGCAGTGGTCGCGACGGTGGCAGCGGCGGAGCCGGAGTCTTTCTTGAGCTGCCTCTCGCTGGCCTCGGGCTCGTGTGTGGGCTTCACGGCACGGGCGGATGGCAGCTGGGCGTTGTTGTTTCTGGAGAAGCCAGACTCGAGCTCCTCGTCTGAACTGCCAGGAGCGGCCTTCCCTCTCAGCTTACGCCGTTTGCGATGTGCGGCAGCCAGGATGGAGGGGATCAGCTCTCTGCTGTAAAGGTCACGGCTAGACCCCAGGGAAACCTGCACACACACATAATAGCATATTTTTTTTATACTGGCAAAATGGTCCAATAGATACAACAGCTCGACCCGAGTTATAAGTGCTGATACTTGCATTGTCTTTGTACTGCTCGCCTGTGGTCTAACACTGGTGAAACAAGGCCAATCCGTTTCAAAGACAATGCATAAATTATGTTTTGCTACAAGTATGTGTAGTGAATGCAGAATTGACGCCTTGCAAAAGGTATCTATTTGGCGTTTGAAAATCTTAAAACCTCCTGTTTTATTGCCAAAAAGGGTAAAACCATTGTTATTTTTCATCATTTTTGACACTGCTCGACGCGAGCTATTCGTGCTCTAACACTTTTATCCATAGGCTGTGCCGGGTGGAGGAGGATTTGCGACATATTTTTACACGACATAACCCAAAATAAAGCAATGATGAATCGCATACACACACGTTCTCAGTTCAATAGGTAAAAACAAACGTCACATCGTTCACACAGCCAGTGTAACCGGTCTCATCTCTCATAGGTATCAAAGGACCAAAACCATAAAAATCATTGATGCTCCACAACACCGCACCTCCGATTAGCACGGTTGACTACGTACGGTGTAAATGAAGTTCTAAAAATTGCATTGTAATTAGGAAAGAAACCACACGGTTCTCACTCAAGTCTCTGTTAATGCTCAACACCTGGAATCCATCGCTGGGTTACTCCTCCATCTGAACCACAGTTTGATGCCGAGCTGTAGATTCTGTGAGATAACGTCACTTGTACTTGCATCCGACACATCACTGTCTGTTTACACACTGCTGCAACGAACACAATGGGATTGTGATTATGGGAAATGTATATTATTTAATATTGTCTATGTTTGTGCATTGTTTTTCATTTCTTTTGAAATGGTTGCGTTTGCTCCGATTTCTATTTGGTTGTTTTTGATCCGATTACTATTTGCTTCATTGTTATACTTAGTTTTTATGTTACTGCTTGTCAATTTAGTGAACCGGGTTGAACAAGACAAACTTAAACACGAAACTACACACTCATAAAGCGATGTATTTAGCTGTAAACTTGCAGGTATCCTACCTTTGACTTGGCAGAGTCGCTTGTGGCAGAAGTGTCTGCAACAACAAACAGAATTCAGGATTAAGCATCCTACGGGCTCCAACGCCGTCAGGTCTATAACTCAGGCAGTGTTTTGTGAATGAGATGACCGTGCACACAGAATGCACACGCAGTGCATGATTATAAGAACTGTAGACAATGACAGCAAATGAAGTAAATCACACATCCCATATGCAACACAAGCTGAAAAAAGGGAAAGGCCTCTAACTGCGTACAATTATTACAGCTGCTGCTGCCATACAAAGCACAAATTTTGCTGAAGCTGGAGCCCTGCTGCTATCACACCTGGAGTGGAGCACCCAGTTCCTGCCTCGCTGCACTTGGACAGAGTTTAGAATAAAGCAGCAGTCAGGGTGATTGATGACGCAGCACTCGCTGATCTTTCCAGTGACTCGCTCATCAGCGGCCAGTCACTTCCTTGTCATTCTTCTATCGCTACTGCAATGGTTACTATTCCTGTGAACTTCACTCTGATTCCTCCATCCATGTGACGACTCAGTCTAGCAGAGTGTTCTGTCGCATCTGCACTGTTCAACCTCCAAACTGCAGGTCACAACACTTCTCTTCCTGCTGTTTCCCTTGCATTGCTCCACTTTGGAATTCCCTCCCATCGTCTCTCTTCCCAAGCTCTTAAAATAACTTTGCTCAATTCAACAAACACGTTAACTCTTTACATATCTATTACAACTTTGAAGGTGCTGTTTTTGTTGCTGGCCGCTTGGCAATTTGGGCCTGTGGGCTCTATGCTCATCAACTGTATTGAAAGCAAGCCAGCGGGGCTTTGATGCAGTAACACATCTACGCGAGAAGATTACAAAGCTATCAGAGCACCTGTTACCAACCCAATTTCATTTCTGAACACAAACGGGCATTCATAAATTTACAAAAAAATCGGGCAAAAAATAATTCCAGGAAGCCAAGATACTTAGCAATGTTACAGCCAAATTAGCGATAAATGCATCCATTTTATTCTAGTTTTCACAGCCAATGTTAAGATTCATTCTTGATTTTTGCATTTGGCAAGGTGAGGATATGGCCACATATCTGTCATAAGACCCTCCACTATCCAATAGCCAAACAAATTAAATTGTCACATGTACAAGCATTTCATAATCCAATTATTGTTTCATAATGATACTAACTGTCACTTTAAACGCTAGTACTCATGATAATTTGGCTAGATCATTATTACGTTGCCAAGTCCAATAAAATTACGACTCAATTACTTATTTCCGTTCCTTGAGGTTTTAGTTGATGCTGGAAATCTGAGAGCATGGGCGCAGTGCGGTGAAGTGACATGACATTGACACGTCACAAGCGGATGGACCCCACTGGCAAGAGGCAGGGTAACAGTGGATAGAGCATGGCATATAAAGAAAAAAAATCCATTCAACAATCACAGGATAGGACAGTAAGATTTGAGCAAGCCATTTTCCAATTATCATTGCCCAAAACAAGACATTAATTTGATGGGGGTTATGGGTGAATATTTTTCAAGGCAGAGATATTATTTGAACATTTATTTATAAAGCTTAACACTATATTTTTGAAACCAAATAAATAAACAGACAAAAGTAAACCTCCACAAATCTGTCCCTCCGCACAATTTTTTAAAATAAAAATTATCCTAACACATCCCATTGGTCACATGGCCTTCTGGGAGTGCATACTTTGAGAAGCAATGGTTAAACACAAGGTCCAAACTCTGGACCTATTCTGAAATGCTTGTCTCATCAGTAGTCAGGCTTTCTTGATTCAATGCCACAAATTTTATAGCCAAGGACCCTCTCTCTTAGATATGGGTCCTACCTTTGCACAAAATATATACACAAATATACGGCATGTGTAAAAAGTACTTCTTTATTTTTTTAGTTGGAGGGACAAATATATGGAGGATGTATTGTCTGCTTCTTCATTTTCGTATTTATCTGCTCCACAACGACGTTCATTATTCTTTTGTATCATAGCTTTAGATATGTTAGTCCACGACGTGCTGACTTAAAGAGCGTCTCTTCCTCCAGACAGAACACGACACAACACGGAACATGTATCGTACCCGCTCACAAATCCTCAGTGTCTGCTTTGAGAATTACAAAACATATTCAAATTGAGTGTGTAAAAAAACAAGAATGCTGGCCGAACCTCAACTCGGTATTAAACACTCAAACACACGGCAAGAGTCCCCCACATCTCCACCAGCAGGAGCTGCAGCAGCTAATGCCGACACAGTTTCTGACACGTCAAACAGGTGCACGCGGGGCAGCACGTCTCCTTTTTGCCGCAGTTCCATCCGTCCATTAGGGCTAAAAGGGCATTGCCTAAGGAGGGTCCGGGGATTGGGAGGGGGGGCCCCGTGCCAGGGGGAGGGGGAGCCCCCACCGACGCCTCAATGGCAAAGTGAGGCCCCCCTTCGGAGCGGCAGCCAAGGGCACAGCCCTCTGCGGTCACAGTGCGCGCAAGGTAAAGCGTCATGAGACCCTTCACGCCGTGCGCGAGGTACAGCCATCACTTCGTCTCCAGTAAGGTCCGTTTCATACAAAGATGAATTACAATTCCAAGACAAGCTTATTCACCGGTGCACGCTACATTTAAATTAATACTTTTGCAGCCAAAGAGGATTTATAACTTACTTTTATTATGCCATGCAATGGATCCGGCCATTGTTTTTGTTTTACACTCCGCTAGTTTCATGACCCGAGCATGGTTGATGAGTTTCAAGTGAAATGACCAATCTAATATGCCAAATTTGTTTGCGAGAAATGTCTTCTGCAACTTACCGGCGAGCTGGAATAATATTTTTTGGTGTATTAAACGCTTGTACACGAGACAATTTGATTGTAAGTTGGTGCAGGGTGACACAACAAATAATTGGCCAGATCATTACGTGGCCTAACCCAAAAATCTATTATAAACGAAGTATGTTTGCACTTGGTCAGCAGACAAGGGAGTTAAGCCCTGTAGACCTCTCCCCGCAGGCTGGATGACATTTACAGTTGGAATATTGTGATGTGCGATACCCCTGAGAGCTGAACCCTGTGGTATGTTACTGCTGCACCCTGTGTTACAAGCTGCACCCTCAGACCAACCACATATTATATGCAGCACAAAAAGGGACGGCAGTCTCCGAGATGACAACACCGCACACGATGGAATACCATTAGCACGCAACACGCCTTCACGCTGGGGAAGGCGACGGCAAGTCGTGTGTGGCTAATTCTTTCGTAGAGTCGAATGCAAGGTTAATCATATGAGCAGAGTTAAGTAGGTCGGAAGTGACGGTTAGTACCCGGTGATACCTGAAATACATCAACACGGAGCCCTGTAAACACGCGCGTCAGTTGGGTGGTGGTGCCGGTTTTGGCAAGCGTCGGACCGTCACTGACCGGTCCAACTGCAAACAGCTTACCGGACACATCGCCTGGGCTGGAGGCAGTGCGGCCGATGTTGGTGAGAAGATGGTTGATATTGGGCATGGGTTGGGCCTCCACAGCAGTAGAGTCCTGCAAAGGGGTCTGCAGGAGGCACACAGGTGCTGTACACTCACCGCGCCATGCCGCTGTATGCTGCCACCGCACCCTCGCCAGCGTTCAGAACCGCAGCCGTTTGAGAGCCAACATTTGGTCTCCACGCAGCGTGTGGGTACGTCTAACCCCCTGTTTCTAGCGCTCATCATCTCCAATTCCAGTTAGTTTTTGCCGCTAGTTGCAGAGCTACGCAATTCGATCTGGGAGGCCAGTCTGGTCAACACTATTGGTGTGTATTCAAATACTATGCGCCCATCTGCTTTCATTCACAGCTGACGTTCTAAATCCCGTCACATAATTCGAGGAAAAATAGGCCATTGTGTCGGCGTCATGGCCCAAATTAGAATAATTCCACAACAATTTACTAAATTAGGATCCCTCCGACTTTTAAACCCTATCAGGACCCTACTGAAAAGGTCTTGAGACTGGGTGAGGCTTTACGGGGTAAACAAGGCTAAAATAAAACCTTTCAAGACTGTGCATGTGCGCTTTGGTATTTTATGTTCAGTAAGTTTTTTAAAGTCTATGTGCACTTGATGTGTATCCCTCCCTCCCACCAGCAGCACAACAGAAATTACACTCACAGTTGCGTCATTTTCACTGTCGTCCGTAAAGAACCAGTCGTACTGAAAGAGAAAACAAACGTGACAGTGAGGACCACAGAAAGCAAACCAATCACTGCAATGAGCAGAATCACATTTCCAGGTATTATTCTGTGATAGCACGGCAATCGATAAGTTTTATTCTGGAAATATTAACGGGAAAGCAAATCCAGAGTACGCATAGGGAAGCAACAGCAGCTGTATCGATGACCCTGATTCCTGTACGATGACAAGCAGATACTCGATCTGTTTTGGACATTCTGGAGCCATTAAATTATGCTGCGAAAAAACTCTAGTTATACAACACAATCATTAGCGACATCATGGAGAATATAACTAACAAAAAATAAGCGGACAAGTATGCCACTTTTACATATTGGGTATTTTATGGATAAAAAAAAAGTTTTTACACATCCCATCAGCCACGTGGCCATCTTGGAGTACATCAAATCATCTGCATTGGTTCAAAACAAGCAATAAGTTCAAAATAATTTGTTCAAACAAGCTCTGACTGCTGAGACAATGATTGACGAAATTGGTCCAGCATTTACTTATATTGAACCAATCAATGCTCCTGATAACTCCCAGCAACCTGTGTGATTGAAAGCATGTGTTAACGAAATTGTATTTTTGATATGGAGACGTAAGTATGTTAATGTGTGCTGTCTTGATTTTTCATTGTTGTTCAGTAGGTACCACTGTGTCAGCCTTGTGAGGGTACACTGTCATATAAAGCAAGCAACGCATTTTATAATTTACAGGTACACTGATTGATGGTTTTAATTGGGCAAATACACAAATGATTTTGTTTGGCCATGTCGGGTGGTGGAGGGTTCCATGATCATTACGTGGCGCAACTCCAAAATAAATTCGGAATCATATTGGCTCTGAAAACCTACGTATCCTGAGGCATAAAATTAACAGCAGAGCAGGGTACAGGCAGAAATGACATTTAGAAATGTTAAACATACGTGTTGTATCAGTGTTTCCACAATCTTGTACTGGTCTGGCATGTGAGTAACCATGTCGGTCATGTTGTCCTCAGAAGTACGGACCAACGTGGGTCCGAACACAATGGCCAGGTTCCTGGGCTCCATCTGAAAAGGCACCATCCCACTACTCAGCATGCACACACAAACACACACCATAGCCCACACACTCCCACATTACACACCCTACATAGACCTACGGGATGAAGACGTCACTGATGGGACTGTGTCCAGATCTTTTAAGGGTGAGTGAGCTCCACCTCAATGCTCAGGACTAATCACACATGCAAAACCTGACCCATACATTTTCACAAATACACCCCCATTGGGCATCCACACGCACATACAATCCACCGTGAACAATGCATAGCAAACCAGTCGAAGCATTCATACCACACAACTAATCACCGTCTTGTTCTGCTATACACTACACACAGCGTTCCACCCTCTGAGAGCAGCCTGGCTCTACCTTGTTCTTGGGTGAGTTCTCCGCGATGGTCTTGAGATGCATTGAAAGGAACTTCAATGTGTGGAAGTGATGCTCTGGGAGTTCATGGATCTATAGAAATACAACAAATGTTATTATTATTCACTGTAAACGCATTTCTTGCGTATTTTTCTACATAAATGAAAACCATATCCTCCAGTAAAAGATATGCATATCGGGTAAACGTGAATATATATAACACACCCAAGTGTCGCGTAACTCTCTTAACTGCAGCAGTTAGGGAAAAGTGTCAGTAAGCAGGTCTTGTTATTAAAAACAATTGTTTTAACACAGTTGCTGAACACAGGCCCAAATGGTCACCTCACACATGTCCTTGGTTACTCTTCCGTCTAACTTACACTGTGATGCCGAGCTGTTGGATCTGTATGATAGCTTCACTTGCAGTTGTATTTTGTCGCATGCTCTTCTCTGTTTAGATTCGAATGTAATAATCACCCTACATCCAAACACATGGCAATCGTCACCCCCTACTGCATAAACATGGTAGGGCCCTTTTGAAAAAGAGTTCCGATACTCTGCGAGCCTTTCTTGGGTAAACAAGTGTAATAATATTCTTTGGGTCTTACGATAAAGTCACGCAAATAGGTTCAAATAAATAATAAATAAACTACGACGTTTCGATCACAGCACAAGTGATCGTGATCAGGAGGAAAACAGAGGTGGAAAGCTGCCAAAAGCAGACTGTTATAGTTAAGTGGAAACCCTCTCTATGGAGGCGGTTAAATCTTGACTTAAAGCTTTCGTGACTGCAGGAATTAATATTCTTTGGGTCTTTCGGTAAAGTCATGTAAATAGGGTTTCCACTTAACTATAAGTCTGCTCTAAGCAGCTTTCCCCCACTGTTTTCCTCCTGTTGACGATCGATTGTGTTGTGATCGACAGGTCGGAGTTTTTTGTTTATTTTTATAACTTTGAACCTATTTACGTGACTTTACCGAAAGACCCAAAGAATATGAATTCCTGCAGTCACGAAAGCTTTAAGTCAAGATTGAAATGCAATAATAATCACCATCAGTCGCAGATGCAGGCTGTTTAGAATCCACACTAACCCACATGCCCAATTTTGTTTGACCTCTGAATTACTCCTGCATAATACATATTTATATTTGTCCTATTGTAAGACAGTTTTAATGACAAATGCGGAGAATATTCCATGTGAATTCATGCATTTCATTATGTTAGTGTCCAATACTTGCAGTACACCTGAGCGTAAAATGCTTACCAGTTTTTTAAGTGCTTTCAATCTTTCCACACCATTCTCCATCCGATTAGCATCAATAAATTCATAGTATTTTTCTGGAATGGTAAACAGTTTATTTGAATTGCAGGATTCCGCAGTGCACAGCAGGAGACACTTTCCTGAACGTTAAAAAACGCATGATAAAATATAAACATCCTGCTGCTTAACAAAAAATATAATCATGAGCGTCATTGTGAAAATAATAACATAAATAAGCTAAAAAATGTCCTCCTCCACATATCTGAGCATACATTTTTTTTTTACAAATCTCATCAGCCACACAGCCTTCTTTATGGGAGTGCACAATTTCAGAAAAAAAAGTTAAACGCAAGCAAACTCTGGACCAGTTTCAACATTCAGTGTTATCGTGATCACTCAGGTTTACTTGAACCAATGTTGGATGTTTATAGGCAAGGACCCTCTCTGTTAGACATGGGTCCTAATTCAACACAAATCTATACAATACATAACACAAGATAACCATGAGTGTAATTGTGGAGAATACTGGATATCTGTGAAAAAGAGCTGTATAGATAATCGGATCCTGAATACAAACAATGAAACAAATAATGAGATTATACACCTCCATCATATAACTGTCCCGTGTAGCTATTGGCAAGCACTTGGTCCATCATGTACTCTACACACCAGGGAAGTCGCACAGGGACAGACGCTGGTTGCCGAGTTACCGTCAGTGAAGAGTGGCTCTGGAAGCTTTCTGAAGAACGACTTCAGTAGACTGCTAATGACATTCAGGTCACGCCATTTCTGAAAATTAAAATGACGAGCAGAGAAGAGTTGTTGGAAAACACATCCTAAAAATGTCGTCACATTTACTTTTTACCTTTGGTTACTGTGGGTGCTGTTGTCGCCCCATTATCCAAATAGAACAGTGATCAATTCTCCAAGGCCAGTGCGCTAACCATTATGCTGTGGCTAACCATTGAGTGTAAATGTTGTGGCTTGGCTCTCCAACACACCGGTGTACTGTACTAGTGACGAATTTGCATGTTCTGTTTACATGACAACCCTTACTAGTTGGCTGTTGTTGGGTGGTGGCGGGTTTTAACGACACACATATATATACGCGATCTAACCCAAAAAACCCTATATTATTATTCCCTTGACTGCTTCCTTCTTTTCCCAAGTTAAAAAAGCTAAAATAATGAAGAACAAGAATGGGACTTAAAACTTTCGTGACTGCAGGAATTAATATTCTTGGCTCGTTCGGTAAAGTCACGTAGATAGAAAACAAAAATCTAAAGTAAAAAACCCACGCCGTTTCGATCGCAACACAAGCGGTCTTCTTCAGGTGGAGAGGAAAAAAAGCCTCCACGACCAGCGGCACCTGAAGAAGGCCACTTGTGTTGCGATCGAAACGTCGTGGGTTTTTCTGCTTTTAATTTAGATTTTTGTTTTCTATCTACGTGACTTTACCGAAAGAAGCAAGAATATAATAAGAATGGGTTTTACCCTCTGGTAAACAAAGCGACACGGCAACATCTCGGTGTGCACGCAGGCGACCCCTCACGTACATCGTCGTTGGTGTCAATCTCCGTTACGCCACGGTTGAGCTCCTCCTGCAGGCTGCACACGGCAGCGTTGTTGCCAGGGACACGATAGATCCCCGTAGACTCCAGCCCACGCTCCTCTACCAGCCCACAGCACACCTCCACGATCAGCGGCAAAAACTGCATCCACACCAACGCGCACACACCAGCCACCAACGCACATTCCCATACACGTTATTATTCAAAATAAATTATGAGCTTCATTGTGAAGCTTAACGCACAAAATATATGAAAAGACAATGGTGCCCTTTTTCATATATCCTTCTCTCCATTTAATTTGTTATTTATACTCTCCATGATATTCTTGGGACTTTCGGTAAGGTCATGAAAGATCCAAGAATATGAATTCCTGCAGTCACGAAAGCTTAGAGTCAAAGATTTACTCTCCATGATGCTCATGATTATTTTAAGCTATGTATTACACAGCTTTCACAAAACTACGACCCGTAATGTAAACAGAGAGGGTCTGTCTGCAAGATCAGCGGTTCGCCAGCATTAATTCAAGCAAGCCTGACTGCCGATGAGGCAATGAATGTCGAAACCAGTCCAGGCTTGCTTGAAGAAATGCTGAACTGCCAGTTGTTTATAGGCAAGGACCCTGTCTGTTAGATATAAGTCCTAGTTTGACAAAGCCAATGTAATACATGACTAAAACAATCACGTTAATATTCATATTGGGGAGATGTAAAGAGGGAATTTTTATGTCACTAGAATGTTTCTAATTATTACACACTACAATACAAGTCAGACAGTTTGTGAAACTAGATATGCACATTGGTCGAGATATGTGACAGGAGCAACCCGGGTGGATCAGCAGGAGCACGAGCGGCTTGCAATCAAAAAGGTTGCAAGTTTAAATCCTGGTTGGGGGTTGACTCGTTATCTATCTGGGGTCGATAAAATGCCTACCACTTTGTGGGGAAGTCAACAGTAGTTTTCTACGTATGAGACTTGCCCCCACCATAGGAATGGGGAATTTCCACCACTGGCTCAGGGCTGTAAACAGGAGATGAGTACCACCTCAAGTGCTCATTTGAGCAACACACTTGGCCTTGAGCGTAGCAAACGTCTGTTTTATTAGAGGCACTACACTGTTCCAAAGCCGCACACTGACCTAGTTGAGAGAACCTCGTCCAAAAACAGAGAATGGTTAAAATCAGGGTGACGATTACCACATTGGACAAAAGTACGATTCATAATTGAGTTTTAGGCTGAACCACGTAATGATCCGGCAAAAAATTGTGCCGAACCTTTCCACCACCCAACACAGGCAATCAAATGTAATAGTTAAAGTGGTGCGCAAGTGTAAAAGCACCAATTGTAATCGCTTCGGCACCTTCAGGAAAATCCAGAAGTCAGAATAACTGTGTCAGCTGACCCGGTCTCCTAAAGAGATGGCATGACCTCACAGGAACAACTAATCAGATTCAATCAATCAATCCAAGAGTTGTAATGTTGCATATTCAGCAAAAAGCCGAGACGGACCATCACAAATTAAATTTTGAATTAAAGCTTTCGTGACTGCAGGGATTAATATTCTTGGTTCTTTCGGTAAAGTCACGTACAAGGGAAACAATAAAATAATAAATATATAAAACAATAAAATTCTCACGACGTTTCGACTGCAACACAAGCAATCATCATCAGCAAAAAAATTGCTGTGGTTTTCACACCTGATGATGATTGCTTGCGTTGCAGTCGAAATGTCGTGAGAATTGTATTGTTTTATATTTTTATTATTTTATTGTTTACCTTCTACGTGACTTTACCGAAAGAACCAAGAACATCACAAATTAGTTATTCTATATATTTTTTTCTAATTTATTTCGGCCAATGATTAACATTTTATGTTTTTCATTATAATTGCTCGTGAATATACTAGAATTGAGCGCAGCATGGTGTTGGATGGCAAGTTAGCCCATTCACATGGCAAACATTTCACGTGCCTTGTTGTGGAGGCCTGGAGGGCAGTCCTCAAGTCGCACTCCGAACATGGCCACTGCATCTGTGTTTGATCTTCCACTAAACGGATTTTTCATGATGCTCTGGATGCCTTTACGCCACAGTGCCTTGTCCTTAGGGGGGCTCAGGTCCTCTGCGAAACGGCATTCACCACAAGAGGACATGCAAATGTGAGGTATTGAGAACACCATTGCAAACAAGGTCTTCCATCTTAAGGGATTTTCCAGGTGAAATATTTAACAAAAATAGATGCTCTGCAGGCCTCGAGTGTAAATACACAAACACAGCAGCACTTGTGCAATTTACAATTTTTTTTAAAGCTATTAAAATACGAGCATATCTAAGCTCTGCAAAATGAAAGGCATTAAGATATTTCTTGAACGGAGCAAGGTGATTATAGGAGCTTGAAAAAAAGAGAATGTGGAAGAAATTCCCAAGTGGAACAGTGCATGTAAAAGGAGAAAGCGAATTGTTGTGATCAGCAGTGTGTTGGTTCAATGAGTGGGTGATTGCGAGGGTAGGTTGGTGGGTGAGTGGGTGCGTGAATGGTTGAGTAAGCGAGCGAGTGGGTGAGTTGTTAGGGCCTGCAGTGTGGTGGTTGAACAAGGTATGACGCAGTCTTGTCTGGTCAATATAGGAGGAACGAAAGAGTCAAGTTCACAGGAACAATAACCAAAGTAGCACCAGTTGTAGAGTGAATACAGATTTAAAGTAGGGCACACTCACCCTTGGAGCCAGCCTTGCGATCCGAGTCCTGTTTTGGAGATCGTGGGACCCTCTGCTCAGACTTGGGCCCCAGCAGCGTTGACTTGCCCAGTGTTTGTCGGAGCATGCGAGGAGATGGCTCCACCTTGTTACCTAGTGCACTGTACAAAATACAAACACACCACCTTCATCACCAGCAATAATCAATCCACTGCTGGAAGAATGCCTTCCAAAGCCATCGCCAACTCTCACAATCCTGCGATGCAAGACTCCATCCAGTACCTAAAAATGGAACTGAACTTATCCCTTCATGTCTTTGGTGGACATCCTCTCAGATGCATTCCGTTCCTTGGCTGCCACTCTTGCCCATCATTCCTTCTCGTGGTGTATTCTGCCCAAGCCCACTTTCTTAACAGTTTGGAAGCTCTCATCAACCTTCCGACAGGTTTATTGTTCGAAGAAATGTCAAAGTTGGGCTCAGAATAAATATGAGTGAAAGAAATGTCAAGAACACATATGCACAAGGAAAAACAACACGCGCATCTACGAAAATGCTCGACAACATAATATGCACAATTCAGTCACTGTCAGAAATATAAGGAATAAACCACAAGGTAAAATGTATGGAAATGCCCAACGAGCATATCCAGAAAGATTAATTTAAATGTAACAGCACATAACGTACCAAGAATAAAATATTAAAAAAAATCTGTAAAATAATGGAGTTGGCCAGACATTCTGGTACAGGACCATAGAGCTTGGGCAATTGTTGGTAGCAGCGGTTCTAGCCGACTTCCAACTTACCTGTGGTTTTCCGCACCTCTGTGGGAAATGTATGCATTACGAATCCTACTGCGTGAGATGTGATTTGCATGAATGGTGGTCTAGACAATAAGATAATTACGATAATTATTTTAAGCATTTTTTATTCTATCTCAAAGTATCAATTCCAGGACAACTTACTTGACATTGCTGTATTCTTTTATCTTCCTGCTTATCAGATCCCGGCTCAGAGCCCCAGAGTCCTAAAAAAAATAGACATTTATAACAATCGAGAGTAAGGTGTGGACGAACAGGAAGATGTGTAAAATAACCCCTGGTTGGAGACCCGCTCGGAAGTGCAGCACTCCACCACATTCACATCCTGCGTCTGGCCACAAGGCTCGGTGGTTAAGCGAGCGACTTGCAATCAGAAGGTTCAGAATTCAGATCTGGCTTTTGCTAAGTTTTCATAATACTCAAGTATTTCACCTGGAAAAAAAAAATAACTTAAACTTAAACGATTGATTCCTCCGCACATGTCGACGACTCTAAAATGTCATGTCACCGACAGTGTTCAACCACCACCCTTGCAGGTGAGCAGCACAATTCCTCTCCTGCTTCAGACTTGATTTGAAGCTTTCGTGACTGCAGGAATTACTCTTCGGTTTTTTCGGTAAAGTCACGTATAAATAAGAAATAATGAAATAACATAATAGCGTACGACGTTTCGGTTGCAACACAAGCAGCCATCATCAGGTACAGAAGAGCTAAATTTACGAGAGAGGGGAAACACATAACCTCAGATGTATAAACAGACACCCAAGTAGGGGGAATTAACACAGATACAACAGGGGACACAGAGAGAGAAGCATACCAGACAAACAGGGTTTAGCAAAATTTGGAAACCATATAAAGCAACACAGACGGTCGGTCAAAACACAATTAACGCATAGTCCGGTTGATCACGCTATTTCAAAGATTGCTAAATTGCAAGTTAAGTATGAAACTCAAAATACAGACCGCACACACACATCCAAGTAGAGCGAACCAGCACAGAGACAAGCACACAGTGAAGTCGCCTTACCTTCTCTGCCTATTTAAGGCGACTTCAATGTGTGCTTGTCTCTGTGCTGGTTCGCTCTACTTGGGATGTCTGTGTGTGTGCGGTCTGTATTTTGAATTTCATACTTAACTTGCAATTTAGCAATCTTTGAAATAGCGTGATCAACCGAACTATGCGTTAATTGTGTTTTGACCGACCGTCTGTGTTGCTTTATATGGTTTCCAAATTTTGCTAAACCCTGTTTGTCTGGTATGCTTCTCTCTCTGTGTCCCCTGTTGTATCTGTGTTAGTTCCCCCTACTTGGGTGTCTGTATATACATCTGAAACGTCGTACGCTATTATGTTATTTTATTATCTCTTATTTATACGTGACTTTACCGAAAAAACCTAAGAGTCCTTTCCTGCTTCTTCAATAACTGCTCCACTTTGAAATTCCCTCCAAATGTCTTTTCGATAAGCTTATAATCACCTGGCTGGCTCAATTCAACACACGTGTTCATGCTTATCCATTTCAACTTTTAAAGTGCTGTTTATTTCTAGAAACTTTACGTTTTAGACCTTTGGACTTGAGCCCAGCAACTGTGTAAAAATGCTGTTTACAGCCCTGAGCCAGTGACAAGGTGAGTCTATCCACAGGACAATCGCTGTTAACTTCCCTATAAAGTGGTGCTAATTTAATCGATTCAGGAGAGATTATGTGCCAAGTCAACCCCTGCCCCCCAATCAGGATTTCAACTCGCATACTCTACAATGGAGCCACTTGGTTGGTTGGTTTTCATCTCGGGAACCTTTGGGCCTGTGCTCCACAACCGTGCAATTAATGTTCATGACATTCAGAGCATTTCGTTTTCCATTGCCACCCACCTCGCCGTCTGGGTTGCTACCCTCCTGTATCGCGTGAATCCAGCCCAGCATTTCATCCCGGCTTTCCGCCTGGAACAGGTACTCGCTGCAGTCAGACGTGGTGAGACGGAACACGTTCTTGCGCCGCGTGTCACTGTAGGAGATGTCCACTAGGCTGTTTTTGATGCTCACGGGGTGGTCATCCTCGGGGACGCTAGGTTCGCCGGCTCCGCTGCCCTCGCGCTTGTCTTTATGCAGCAGCAGTGTGTGGCCTCGCAGGAGGCAGTACACCTGCTTCCACAATCGTGTGCTGCCGCTTAATCGCTACAGGGCGGCACATCGGGGTGAGGGGTTGGGGGCAGGACACGAGAGAGATTCACAATCGATTTCTGGGTTAGGCAACGCAATGATCTGACCAAATCTCATCTACATCATGAGGAAATGTGTACATTTCATTGTGAGAATTGTTCTTCAATCTACCAGTGAGCCAAAATGTAAATGGTTGACGTGTTAAACGCCCGTATGCGTGACGATTTGTTTTGTTTGACTGTGTCGGTTGGTGGAGGGTTCCAAGGACACGACATTATCCACCTCGGATTTTCCGACAACAGTCATCATAATGCCCAATGGGAAAGACTGCAGGAATGTGAGAAGAACTTACCTTGTAAAGTTGGGCTCAGGATAAATGTCCACCCAGCCGCTGACCAACCAGCAGTTGGGTACAACAGATATACGATTGGCAGGTCAAGTGTGGTGGGTTCAAGCGTGGGTATTCCCACCTCTTCCAACAAGTATGGCAAGCGTGGACGATAAGACCAAAGACCCTTTAGATCTCCCTCTGGTGGAGGCTCTTCTGCCAGCAGTGTTATGAGTGAGACATTGCAGGGCTACACTTTTACCTATTAACTGAGGAATGAGGGCAATGCACCACGGGGTGCCTTAGGCCACCATGCCATTTGTACATTCACGTGTACCAATCACTGCATTCGTTCCTGACTTTCAGAACCAATAATCGATTCTGCAAACGGTTACGGTTTACCGGTTATCGTCTAACAACTCAAACTGCCACCAATGCTCTGAAGGTCACCTTGGCCTTCTCCCCATGAAAGCGGAAGTGCAGCCAGCCCTGCTTGGTGACATCGCCTCCCAGGCCCAAGTGAGTGATGTCTGATGTAGAGCGTCGCCTCCGGTACGATCCTGCTCCTGCATCCTCCGTGAACTCGGGGTCTTCCACAATCTGAATATCGCAGTCACATAGGCTCCTTCAATGCTCTTGATACATTATACTCAAGTAAAGCACAAGCTGAAAATAATAGGCATTTAACTGTCCAACAGGCAAATACTTAACCATCAATCACCACAATTCTCAATTAGGGTGACGTAAACATGGTCAAGTGAAACTAAAAGAAAAATGTCATGACAATATAATGCAAGACTGACAATAGCAAAGTTTCTCCCAATATTATGAACAATATTATTCTTATCCATAGAAAAAAACATTCATCTGCTTAGCACAACAATCGCCTCTAAGCTGTCATGGAACATTTATATTACTCATCTGGCTAAGGAGGCATCGCGAAAGCTTGCTTTCTTTTCCGTGACAAAGCATCTTCAACGCGCAACAATTATTACGTCTGCTACACAAAACAAAATTTGGCTGAAACTGGAATCCTGCTGCTGTCATACTTGGGGTAAAGCACCCAGTTCCTACCTCGCTTCACTTGGACAGAATTCAGAGTGAAGCAGCAGTCAGGGTGATTGACAATCCAGCACTATCACTGGCGATCAGTCACCTCCTTTTGAACCTTTCTATTGCTACTACCATAGTAACTATTTCTGTACTTCACCCATAAAGTATCCTACACCCATGTTGAGGACTGTACATCAGTGACTATTTCGTCTAATACATGCTCTGTTAAATCACCGCACTGAAAGGTCACAACACATATCTTTCTGCTTCTTCCCTTGAAATGCTCCACTTATGAATTCCCTCCCATTGTCTCTCGTCCCAAGCTCTTATACCATTGTCCAATTGAAGAAACTGGAAAACCTAATTTGGACCGTGACACTGGCACACAATGGCCTACTGTTTTCAAAAGATGTCGCAGGATCTTTAACGTCCACTGTGAGTGAAAATAGATGGGGTGTAGTATTTTACAGTTCACACACACCACATTATTAATCAGGGTTGCCTGCCTGGTCTGAACATGCAGTCACAGAGCCGTGTCACCGGCCAATCAGTAAATCCCTTATAATATTAACACATACCCCTTCAGAAAAGAAGTTCTTGAGTTTCTTGATGCTTGGCACTCGCTTTGGCTGTTTCCTGTGAGACAACGCTATTATCAGTCGTGAACACGTACTTCTTTACAGCCAATGTTCTCATGCAAAATTTACTGTTGTGTTAGGTCACGTCATGATCCGGCCAAAGCTCTGTCACATGACCCTCCCACCATTCGACACCGCCAAAGAAATCAAACGGTCATGTGTACAAGCATTTAACATGCCAATTATTGTTTCAGCTTAATTTGCACAACCAAATCAGGTAATAAATATGCAGAACATCGCAGTAACACAGCTAATTATTATCGATCTGAAACAATACTAATTGGTGCATCGTTAAACACTTGTATGTGACAATTGTATTTGTTTGGCTGTGTCCGGTGTTGGAGGGTCTTGCGAGAGAAATTTGGCCAAACCATTAAGTGGCCTAACACAAAAATGAACTACGAATTTCCAGGGGGAAACCATCATCATATTTACTATACTCCAGAAGATTTAATTCTGCACTTCACTGCACAAAATAATGTTTAAAACAAATTATGCAAGCTGGCTATTCTTAATATGCAACTGTAACAGCTAACAGCAACAATCTTATGTTGCGCATTACAAAATAAATAATTAGCATCAGTGGGAATATAACAAAATAAAGAATCGGCCAATACACCTCATCTTTTTTTTTTCGATTTAAAGCTTTCATGACTGCAAGGATTCATCTTCTTTGGTTCTTTCGGTAAAGTCACGTAGAATGAGAATAAAATAATTAATTGATAAAATAACACAATAATATTCTCACTATATTGTGTTATTTTATCAATTTATTATTTTATTCTCATTCTACGTGACTTTACCGAAAGAACCAAAGAAGACCTCATCTTTTTGTTTAAAGTTTTGCATCGAACTAGGACCCACGTATAGCAGAAACGGCCCTTACCTATTCACATTTGACAGTTCATCATCATTGGTTCAAGCCAGCTGGGCTGTGCTATAAGACGATGAATATCGAAATTGGTTCAGTTTGTTTCTGTTGAATCAACGTTGCTGATATTATGCACCCCGAAGACTGTGTTGTTAGTGGGATGTGTGAAATAACACTTTAGTAAAGTGTATTGTCTGCCTATTTATGAAGCTGCTTATCAATAAGCGAATGAGTACAAAGACTACAGAGGCAGATCATGTCGCAGGGATGTGCTAGGCCATTTGTGTTGTGGGTCACAAGCATACTCTGAAAATACGAAGTCAAATGATGTATCTTGCCTGCACATCAGATTACAAATCTGTTAGGTCAAGGTAGTGCTGTTGGTCAGATGCCTCAGTGGCAGAGAGGGAGACACGCAATCTGAAGGTTGCAGGTTATAATCATGAGTACCACTTTTCGGGTAAGTCAATAGTGGTTTACCACCCAATGGAGTCTCGTCCCTTTTTGTTGACTGGTGGTATTTCCTCAACTGGCTCTGCAGGGTCGTAAACAGGCGATGAGCACAGGCATTTTTTTTTACAAGACTAAATAATGCAGGGTTATCGGTGACTGGTAACCCTTTTCAGAATCAATTAAAGTAAGGAACCGGTAATGGATTGCAATGGAATTTTTTGCAGGAAATTACTTTGACACAGATTACTATAGCGAGCACTGGTGTGTCATCTCGGTAGGTGCAACACTCACAGAAGAGTCTTTCCCTCCTCACGTATCTCATCCAAACCCTCATCGTACGACTTGGAGCGCTCCGTTCCCATCGCAAGCAGATAGGACGACCTGCGACTACCCTTTACGGCGTCATCTAAAAAAAAGAGTACCAGAAATGCATCAATAATATCAACAGAGATTTAAAGTTTGTTTTGTGTAACCAGGTGGTGAGAAGTCTATGGACAAAGATAATGTCATTCGCAAGAGTGACCTGGGCCATCAAATAGACATAAGAACATAATAACAACAATTGACCGAATACAAATCAGAGCTACAGCACTCATATCGATGTCACTCCTGCAAATTATCCTATCTTGGTCTCACTCAAGTTCTCGCGGTGATAAACAAAATAAATGCGAAAGTTGACTGTAATTTGCCACTTGTTACAGATCTGTGTCAAGTGAGAAGTTGCGCCAATGCCGGGCACATGTTAAAATGTCTCACCGGGATCATTAGACCACTGGCGCCGTACAACGCCAGTGGTGCCCATAGTGGGGGGGGCCCTCTGTGAGGACACGACAGCCGAGGCAGAAATGTCTTCACTGTCCTGTTCCCCAGGGCTCCCAGGCTCATCTACAGAACACAGGCAAAGAACGCAGAGAAATTAGCAGGTGTATTACAGCGTGTGAATTATAGAATATTTAAGTCTAAATAATCACAAGCGTCATCGTGGTGAAAATGAATAACAAAATAAACAAGCAGACAATACGTCGCCTGCATACGGATCTATCAACATAAAAAAAAAACTGTGAATTTCAGTAGCATCGGTTCAACACATGCAAACTCAGGACCAGTTTTGACAGTCAGTCTCATCAGCAGCCGGGCTTGCTCGAGCCAATGTTGGTGAGCTGCCAGATGTTTATAGGCTGCCAGATGTTAGATACGAGTCCTAGTTTGACACAAAACTATTTAATACACAACACAAAATAATTATTCGCGTCATTGTGGAGAGTTTTAATAACATAAATAATCAGACAATACGTCTCTTTTACGTCTGTACCACCACAAAACATTTTATAAAGCCAACAGCCACATGGCCTTCAGCGTTGCTTGTTTAAATACATCAACATGTTGTTGGTAAAAACACTCACAAACAAATGTACCAAATGTTTCACGTGAAATTACGTCCTGCATCTTCAGAAAAATCTACAAAGTCAGAATACAATTCAGGAATTCAGAATAAACCGTGTCACTTGACCCAACTTCTTAAATGCACTTCCTTATCTCTATCAGAAGTGAAACGTGAGAATTGTTCAACTTACCAGCAAGCTGAAACAACAGTTGGCGCATTAAACAACTTGTATACGTGACAATTAATATTTGTGTGGCTATGTTGGGTGGTGGTGGAGGGTTTGATGACACAAAAAATCAGTGATGAATAGCAGTTTCACTGCCTCGTACTCACCTATGAAGGGAATTGCAGCTAATGAGCTGCTAGCAGGGGTCTCGCCGACCTTGTTGACAGCCTCTTGCTCAACCTCCCTGTGGAAGCCCTTCCTGCGGTCAGTCGGCAGCCAGCCAGGGTGTAGGCCTGCCTCCTGCGCATCGACCGCAAGGATGTATGAAGGGTGGCGTAGCGGCGGTGCAGGCCGGCCTAAAGGAGGCTTTTCCCGCAGCACTACGCCAGACGTAGCGGCAAGCTCTACAACACCCGGTGATCTCTGCTGCTGCCTGCCAGCGGTCAAATTGCTGTGAAGTGCAGGGTACGAGCCAGTCCTATCCTTGGTCTCCTGGAGGATTGAGCAGCCCTGGCGCACACGAGTTGGCGCGTTCTGACTGTCCGATTCCGAAACGGTGCGTTCGGCCCTTACAAGCTGCGGCGGCGGCGGGGCCACCTGTAGGCCGCTGTTGAGCAAATCTCGAGATTCCAAGGACTTTGACCTGCAGTGGTAGGCGTCGACGCTGTTTCGAGCATCGTCTGTTTTCCTCGAGTCTGGAGGCTGCAATTTTACCGATGTCGAGGAATAATCCGGCTTAAACTTCCCGGCGCGAGATTTTACGTCGTAGCGTTTGCCAAACACGGGTGGTTCGAAGCGTGCCGGTGCCATGACCGCGCTGCCCGTGTTCTCACCACGGCACCTCTCAGAACCTCGAGGCCATGCCCTGTCCGATGAATCCCGGCATTCCTGACTCGAGTACGTGCCTCTTTCGGTAGGAAACCTGACCGCCTCTGTCGCTGTGCACACGTTGCTCTGGGAAGGTGCGTCCCCCATTGCCTTCATTAAACCGCCTGAGAAATTACGTGCGGCCGAATCCTTCTGCTGCGAGAACTCATACTTGCCGGACCTGGCGATATTGTCGTTGGAGTGGGTCCGGCAATTCGGAAAGCTTGCCGGGGGGGATTCCATCGCGAGGGCGTCTTGAGACACGCTCCGCCCCCACTCCTTGGTCTGCACGTTCTCCCCAAGTCGGTCTTGAGACGCGCTGCGGCAGCGGTTGCTGCCGGCCCCCTGCTGGCCCCTGTCCTGCGACGAGCTCCTTGTGCGATAGTGTGTCGCGCTGTCGGGCGGCGCGGGCAGTGGGTAGTGTGGCGCGGCGTGAGAAGTGCCGCGCAGAACGTCCAGCCGCTCCTGCAGAGTACGCGTCCCGAACGTCCGCCGGTAATCCTTGTACGTCGGGTACTGATCCCAGCCTCCCTCTCTCACGTTTGCACCTGCGCGCGCCAGGTTGCTGCCCGGGTCAGTGCCGCCGCAGGGTAGATAGTAGTTCCCACCGGGCGGTGCGAACGTGGCTCCCGCGGGATAGGGCTGGTTTGCGTCATGAGGTTGTGACATGTACTTCCGGACGAGGGCTTCACCGATCCGGCTGCTCGCTTCCTGCAGCGCACTCCGAGACGTAACGCTGACCGGCATCGCCGTGGGCACCGCGGGAAGCGATGCCTTGCGCAAGACCTGCTGCGAGTCTGCTCTCTGCGGCTGGCAAGCGTGGCTCATGCTTGTGAGATCTACAACTTTCCCTGGTGGTACTATGAATGTCTTCATGCCACCTTTCTCCTGCGCGTAGAGAACCGGGCTGGACTTTGTGAGACTGTCTGAACGAGGGGGGATTGGCATGTCGAAAGAAGAAGATGCTGGTCCCATGCCGCATGTGGAGGCGACATTGGAGCCTGGTTGAGAGATGCAAGAAGTGCTTGGGAAAGGATAACTAGACATGGGTGGAGGTTCTGGGATGTTGTGGGCCTTCCCCTTGTAAGAGTCATTTCCTTTTAAATAAGCATCTTGGGAGTAAGCCTGAAAATATAAATGTTTACACCGTTAATACATCAACGGTACCTACAGAATTCACAGTGCACAATATTTTTTATCTTAATGATGTAATTGAAGAAATTAGTTCCAAAAATGTTTAAGTGTTATGGTTGAATAACCACTTAAACCTACAAGCATGTGGAGGCCTTCATCCAGCATTGGATTGACAAACAGTTGCACATGTACATATTTATAATGTGCGGCTGCTGTGAGTCAGAATTTGATCAAATCCCAAAGTGATTTCCTGTTAAAATGAGAATTGAGGCAGTGTTCATCTCCTGTTTAAAGCCCTGTGCGGTGGTGGAATTTCTACATTCAAATAGCAGGGGAAAGTCTATCCATAGGACCACCACTGTTGACTTGCCTACAAAGTGGTAGTCATTTTATTGGCCCTCGAGGGATGATGGACTGAGTCAAACATGAACACAGCATTTTAATTCGCAACCTTTAATAATAATTTACATGTATAAGGTGCATTCCATTCATAGATCCCAATACGATTACGAGCTGCTCGCTCTACCGCAGAGCCACCTGGTATTTAGAACTGTCAAGTAAATAATGATCATTATACATTTTCTTACCAACTGCAAAATATCCTCATCCTTGGGCATCACAGAGAGCCGCAGTAGCAGATCACTACAACACACACAAAGTGTATACACACACACACATCAGACAATATGGCACCTTCACATATCTTCTTCCACAGAAAAAAAAATGTACACATCCCGTCAGCCACAGCCATTAGGGAATGCATCATTTCAGTTGCATTGGTTTAACACAAGAACTATGGACCGATTTCTACTTTCTGTGTCTCAAGAGTAGTCAGGCTTGCTCGAACCAATGCTGGTGAACTGGAAGATATCTATAAGCAAGGACCATTTCTGTTAGACATGGATTATAGGTCAACAAATATAATACAAAACACCAAATAATAATTAGCATTGTTGTGGAGAACCACCATGCTGTATATTGTTAATCATTCTCCACAATGAAGCGAAACATGATTTTACGTATTACACACAAACGTAGCTTAACGGCAAAGCAGTGTGCATGTGTTAGACACGGTTCCCCATACTATCATGTGCACTGCCAACATACTGCGACAGACCACAAAAATACATAACTCCATTTATATTACTACTACAATGGTTACTGTTCCCGTCAACTTCACTCGTTGATTCCTCCATCCATGTTGAGGACTTTCTACCACATTGTTTCGCCTCACACCACTGTAGGTCACAAAAACACTCACTTAACCATTCCATCACCCAATCACTCGTCACAATGCAGATCATGAGCATTCTTCTTCCTCTCACTGCTCCACTTTGGAATTACCTCCCATAGTCTCTTTTCCCAGAATAGTAACGCATTTCTGAATTGAGAAAGGTTATTATAAAATTCTGGGAAATGGGACGATGGGTGGGAATTCTCAAGTTGAGCAGTGCGCGGGAAGAGGAGAAACAAGTGTTGTGATCTGCAGTGTGGTGTCAATGGGAGGGCGAGTTTGAGTGAGTGCCGCTAGTTGCTAGACACTTGACATTTTGTGCCTTTGCCTTTCAGTCCGTGATCAGCAGCAACTGTGTTTAAAAATACATGTGTATATTCTGAAACAACACAAGAGAAACAACAAACTTACCAGTTTTGAATGAGAGAGATGACTTGAGAGTAGCTTTTGCCAATGATGCTCTCACCATTAACTTGGACAATTCTGTCTCCTATAGAAATCACAAAGGAACGTGTTTTACATTGTTTCTTAAATAATACTGCACTTATGCACACACGTGATGACGCAAAGCATGTACATAAACACAAAAGTAATGTATGCAATGTGGATGTTTAACACAATGCAAAAGTCCAAACGTCAAAGTAATTTCCTGCTCAAGTGAGTTATGAGGTGGTGTTCATATCCCATTTACAGCTCTGGTATAGTGGTGGATGGACATTCCACATTCTTATGGTAGGGCTGAGTTAATGACCCAGGATGATCTAGGCTGGCCAGTCGGAAAATTTGTATATGGCCACCCCGATTGTTTGCATGTGTGTCATGTGTGTAGATGTGCAAGTGTATTTATCTGTGAATATATCACACTGATAAGAGTGTGAGGCTGATTGATGCTCAGGTGCAGTCTTGGGGTGGCTCCCAACTGGTCAATCATGTAATGTATGCTGATATGGTAATTTCTGCTCACTGAGGACAGAAGAGCGACGCTCACAATGAGTGGAGCCCTGGGCAGCTAAAACGCAGCAAGTTGGCAAAGTGGGGAGAACATGTGGTGTATCTGACAGTCATTTCAGTCAGTCATCCCATTAAGATCTGGGTCTATCCGGTGACCTCCTGCCAGGGAGCCTTCCACATTCACCTTACCTCAAAGTGCACCAATCCTGGTGGTGCAAGAACTATGGTGACATCACTGCTTCTGAATGGTGGCTGTGTTTGTTGTATGTGTGTATATTTGTATATGTGTTTTTGTTATTTGTATGTGCGATTATATATGTGTATGTATGCTTGCATACGTGTAAATTCACACTGGACACTTGCAAACAAGACGTTCAATCCCAAGTGGCACTTCTGGTGAAATGTCAACGAAAAATGTTGTAACCAATAAAAAACAAACTTGAAATTGTGACCTTCTTGAGTGCGTGCCGCTTACTCTGCCACCGAGCCACCTGGCGGAACACTGTATGTGACATTGGTATAAAGGCAATGCAAGACGGCACCTGTTTGCAGGCCAGCCTCACTCGCTGGGCTTCCTTCCTTCACTTGCTTCACAAAGATGGTGTCCATGGGCTCCTGCCGAGCCCTGCCAGCTTCTGTGCAGCACAGCAGAGAGCAGGCAGAACACGATGCGAATGAACGACATCTCTCTCGCTCTCTTACTGAACCGGTGACACAAACTAGGGCAGTGAGATGCACCAGCATGTTTTCTGCGTGTTGCAGTGGTTCATGGTTCAACACCGACAGGCCACCACTGGTTAATACGGTGTATTTATTGTAAGCGCTTCATGCCGTCTGCTTCACAGTGGATATTGAAGGTCCCGTGATCTTATTTAAAACGCGCAGGCCATTATGTGCCGGTGTCAGTCCAAATTTTCCAAACTAAAAATATTACACCACAAAATGAGAAATTAGGAAACGTCGCAATCATCGTCCCTAATGGCTGGTGCCGATTCACCTTGTTGCCGCACAGAGACAAACGTACTGGGGGTACTGTCAGAACGTGTGAGACAAGACGCAAGGCCCTTCAGCATTTAAGTACCATATACATACAAAAGGTTATGAACTTATTATTACAAAGGGAACATTAATAATGTTCTGCTGAATAAAGCTGTAGTGGTGTAATGGTCGGCACACTGGACTTGCAGTCCAGAATTTGCAAATTTGATTCCATCTCCTGGTGTGGCAGATGAATGGTGCAAGTTTATTAAATCCCACCCACCCCCTCTGTCCACCCAGAAGTATGAATGGGTGCACTACCGCGAGAATTAGATTGGGGTAGAGTGTGGCGATGCCCACCTCTTGCCGCAACGTGTCCGATCAACATAGAGCAGCAGACAGAATGCCCTCTAGCCCCCCTTTAGTGGAGGCCCTTCCACCATTAGTGGCTTGAGCTAACTGCAGGGCTGCACCAATATTTTTTTAATATCTGATAATTAACTATTTATTGAGCTCCAGAGGGAAACATGCAAACAATAATTAATGGAACGTTATACAGAGCGTGTAATCTCATATCCCTGTACTCATGCCAACAAGGTGAGTGCGACCAGGTGACCACACACCTGCAGTGAGCTGACAGGGGTCCCCCCCCCTTTCTGCCTCCTCCTCCTGCAAAAAAAAAGTTTGAACATTTTCTGAGCACTGGCCCAAAATATGTGGCCAGAGACAAACAGTATACGACCACAAAGATCTGCTTTGACAGTATCCCACTATTTGGCCTTAGGTCTTCTCTTCCTATTGGTTGCCAGACTCTTGGAGACCACTCCAATGTCTGTCTCAGCAATCGTCTCTCCCCCATCCTGCCTAATCACATATACAATACTCACCTGCCATGATCTCTTCTGGACTTCTTCATTGATTATCCTGTATTTCCATGACATTTTTTCGATTTAAAGCTTTCGTGACTGCAAGGATTCATCTTCTTTGGTTCTTTCGGTAAGGTCACGTAGAATGAGAATAAAATAATAAAATAACACAATAAAATTCTCACGACGTTTCGGCCACAACGCAAGACGGCCGCTTGCGTTGTGGCCGAAACGTCGTGAGAATTTTATTGTTATTTTATTATTGTATTCTCATTCTACGTGACCTTACCGAAAGAACCAAAGAAGACGCCATGACATTGTGATATATTTTAGGATAATTATCATTGACACTCCATGAAGGTTTTATGGGAAAAAATTGTTATAGCAGGATATGTGTATTATATAGACAGCATAGAGAGGTGCATGTTGGGAATTACAATGAGACATCAGGGAGGTAGATATGGATTAGAGAACATACGCAGGTTGAAGACATCCAAAGCGTAAAAAAAGTAGGCTTGGGCAGGATGCGTCACTAGAAGGGACAATGAAAAATAATAACGGAGTGGCAGCCAAGGAATGGAATGGATCCAAATGGCAGCCAAGGAATGTACGTCGAGCTCGGAGAAGGAGTGATGAGATCTATTCGTGTGCAGGTGCTGGATGGATTGTTGCATCTCAGGATCATGAAGTGGCAGCAGCTTTGGGAGTCATTCATCTAGTAGTGGATTGATCATGGCTGATGATGATAATAAGACTGTACAGGGCTTGTACCTTCTGGTAGGACGTGGACTCTGGTGGGTAGACAATGAAGTGGCGCAGAGTAAAGCCAAACCCTTGGAGCCCTTTGCGGAGTATGACCGTGCGGGGACCAGACCAGGAAAAGATGTCTTCATCCACTACCCGTTCCGTCTCTCCCACCACACTGCCATTGCCAGAGAACCGCGTCTGCTGCCAATCAACAAAACAATTAACACGTCATTAAATTCACACAAATAATCAAGCACTCAAGTAAGCAGTCCCAGTTGCTCAGCACAGATCCAAGCCCCAAAGTGTAAAGTAGTATCAGCAATGAGCACTAGAAACAAACTGTACATCAACGTTATAATACACAAGCGTTAACAGGTTTCTTGTATTAAGAACGTGTATTGTAACAGCTTAGTGAAAAGATACGACAGGAGGGCATTCCACAGTGGAGCAGTGCAAGGGAAGAAGCAGAAAGAGAAGTGTCGTGACCTGCAGTGTGGTGATTGAACACAGCGTGGATGAGATGAAAACAGTCGGTCTGGTGGGTGGGTGATTGGATGAATGAGCGACCGAGTGTGTTGTTGTGACCTGCACTATGGTGTTCAACCACCCTCCTGCAGGCAGCAACAACACACTCACTCACCTACTCGCCCGCCTACTCATTTGCACACCCACTCGCTCACCAGACTGACTTATGTCTTATCCATACTGTGTTGAAGCACCATGCTGCAGGTGACAACGCTTCTCTTTCAGCCTCTTCCCTCGCAATGGTCTACTTTGGAAATCCGTCTCAACGTCTCTATTCCCCAAGGTCTTGTAATACGTAGCTCAATTTAAAAAATGCGTTCAGTCTGAAGTATTGCAACTTTAATGGTGCTGTTTGTTGCTGGCTGCTTACCGTTTTGGGTCTGTGCTCAGCAACGCAGCACAAAGCTAAACACAACCACGCCTGATATACACTACCAACTAAACGCACTGTAGTAGTGTGCACTCGGCAAATAGCATCCATACAATCACATGGTTATTAAAACAGGACATGCGTAGGTCACTGCTTGGCTCAATGTCTGCAGTGGCAATAATAATCATGCGAATAATACGCCTATGTGAAGGTAATGGTGCTGAGCCATCAGAAGGCACAGCAGCGCTCCATATGACTCCGTGATGCAGGCAAAGTCGTGTGGATGTTTCCAAGAGAGGCATACCAGTTGTGTATGCCTGTTGGATTCATTACAATAAATGCATAAAAAATGCATCCGACCATGCGGTAGAGCAAGCAGCTCACAATCGGGAAGGCTGCGAATACAGATCCTGGTTGGTGGTTGACTCAGTCGATTATCATCCCTCCCTCCAAGGCTGATGAAGTGAGTACCACTTTGCGGAGAAGTCAATGCTGGCTGTCCTATAGATAGACCCCCCCCCCCCCACCATAGGAATGTGCGACGTACATCATTGGTTGTGCAGGGCTGTAAACAGGAGATGAACGCTGCCTCAATGCGCAATTGGGCAGGAAATCACTTGGAATGTTGTCCAAATTCTTACCGTCGCATCAGTACGTTATAAATATGTACACATGCAGCCGTTTATTAATCCACTGCTGGATGAAGACGTCCGCATGCCTTGAGCCATGGGGGTTATTTGACGATACTTTACCACACTTCCCAGTGCGGGTTGAGGTTGGGGGGGGCACAGATGTGGGAGCACAGAAGCAAAATACATTCAAACAATGTATTTTTTCTGCACCGTCATTGCTGCCCATCAACGCTTTTCAGCCTATACCACCTATTATGCATTTTTATCACATATCAAAACACTATTCAGGCTCATCCCTGTGTAACTTCTGAAATGTAGTGTAATGGCCCTGTAATATACAAAATGACACTTCAGCATGAACGCTACTTATAACAGGGTGGTCAAAAAACAATCCATGACAACTTCCCCATCAGCCAAGCATGAGTAGATTAACACAATCATGTGTAAAACCAAATCAATTTCAGCATCAACCATCTTCAATTCACTGGCGGGCAAAGCCTCTTCAAGCCACCACAACCTCTCATGACCCTGCGATGGAACAATCCAGCCAGCCCCTGCACATAAACTGAATTAATCGTTCCATCTCCTCGATGGATGTCCACTCGGATGCGTTACAACCCTCGGCTGCTACTCCGTTATTATTCTCGACTGTCATTCATCGTCCCTTCGAGCCGTGATGTGTCCTGCCCACGCCCACTTCAAATGTCTTGAGAATATGGATGTTGTTCTATAGATAGACTCCCCCTACCATATGTTCCTTTGTATCTCAGTTTAATTCCAAGCATGCGTCTCTCCATGCTTCTTTGCGCATTTTTTTCGTGAATGACCACGAATCGTATACATCATCATATCAGGTCATACAGTGATTGAAAACGTTCTTCTTTAGGCAAATTTTAATGTTGTTAATTAAACTCTTGATAATCATATTTAAAGTTAACATTGCTGATATACGTTTAGGCCATACAAAATAATCATGAGCATCATCATTAGGAATATAAGTAGAAAAACAAAACAATTCAACTAGGACTCATGTTCTACAGAAAAGGGACCTTGCTGAAAACATTTTTGGCAGCCCATCAGTATTGGTTGAAGAAAATCTGACTGCTGACACCGAATTCATGTTTAAATTGGTCCAGAGTTTGGTGTGTTGAACCAATGTTGCTGATATGATGCACTCCCAAATGGCTGATGGAATGTGTAAAAAGTAATGAATTAATTCAAGTGGAGGGACACGTGTGAAGGTGCTGCCTTCTTGCTTATCAACAAGTCTCGCAAGTTTACGTGTGTAATGACTTATACTGCCATTAATAATGTAAGCTCATTCGAATACGCAATCGATCGTTACAACTTATCTGTGTGCAATAAGGATGTCTATAAGTGCATTGCTTAGTGCTCGGGGAGCGACATTCCACAAAAAATATATACCACGTAGTGGACGCTAGGGAATTCAAATGGAGGTACATGGGTGATAGAATGCAATCAGTGAAATAACTGGCAACCCTGCGGTTTATAAAAATCCACTCACTCCCTCGACCAAAAAACTACTGATCAGGCACGGTGACGTACGGTCACATTCCGGCAGCGTTCAGCTGGGATCGTCATCGGTTAAGAGCCCCAATTAAACAGCCCCGAGTGTTGACGCAGAAACATTGGTGTGTAATATTGAAAGAAAAAAGGATATTCCGGCACAAATGCGTGTTTTTAGATGTGTACCTCACAACTAATTAGTAAATGACATCAGCAGTTGGCATGTGATCTCAGAATTCGGTTTAAAAGGCACAGTTTACAAATGTTTGTAGGTGTTTATGTTATTTGTGTACATTATGAAATGAGCCCTACATTGCTCGAGCGTTGCGAATGCGCCAGGCTGAATGTGGCTCATTGGAAGCTATCACTGATGCCCGTGCCCATGATCAAGGGGCTCCTTGTTAAGGCCGGATGTCGACCCATGGATGGCTTGCTCGAGCAGCTTGCACTCAAACATTCCAATGCTACTTGCAGCATTCGAGCGCAGAACGCCAGAATCTCTATCAGAATATAACCCGTGATTGTTAACCGATATCCGGTAAACCGGTTATACCGTTTTGAGAATCGATTACCGGTTACGAGAGTCAGGAGCAGGCAACAGTTTCCTGTAACGAACTAATGCACCGATTTACTAAATGCATGTGCCCCATTGTAATTCCAGTACGCCTACCATAACAGTTGTTCCCTTCGGTCACACCCCGAGACCCTGGACATTTCCCCCGCCGTCACCGTCCCTCCAGGACCCCTACTCCTCTTTCCACGGAATCCCTCTCAGTCCGGTGACTCCCCTCCTCTCTGCCGCCCCCCTCACGAGGACCCCCCCCCCCCGTCACTCTTAATGCGGGACCCGGCTGCTCCCCCTACAACTCCCGGCTCCACGCCCCTCCCGAACTCTCTCTGACCTAGGACCCCGATCTCTCTGACCCAGGACCCCGATCTCTCTGACCCAGGACCCCGATCTCTCTGACCCAGGACCCCGATCTCTCTGACCCAGGACCCCGATCTCTCTGACCCAGGACCCCGATCTCTCTGACCCAGGACCCCGATCTCTCTCACCCAGGACCCCGATCTCTCTCACCCAGGACCCCGATCTCTCTGACCCAGGACCCCGATCTCTCTCACCCAGGACCCCGATCTCTCTGACCCAGGACCCCGATCCCTCTCACCCAGGACCCCGATCCCTCTGACCCCGATCCCTCTGACCCCGATCCCTCTGACCCCGATCCCTCTGACCCCGATCCCTCTGACCCCGATCCCTCTGACCCAGGACCCCGATCTCTCTCACCCAGGACCCCGATCTCTCTGACCCCGATCTCTCTCACCCAGGACCCCGATCTCTCTGCCCCAGGACCCCGATCTCTCTCACCCAGGACCCCGATCTCTCTGACCCAGGACTCCGATCTCTCTCACCCAGGACCCCGATCTCTCTGCCCCAGGACCCCGATCTCTCTCACCCAGGACCCCGATCTCTCTGACCCCGGTCCCTCTGACCCAGGACCCCGATCCCCTCGCCCATCCCTCACCCCGTGTCCGCCACGGCCCACAGTGCCCCCCTCCTGCCCAGAGGGACCTCGCGCGTCTCACCCCGAGCTCCCCCCCCCCGCACCACCACCACCATCGCTACGCGCTCCCGAGTCCCAGCTCGTGCCCACCGCTCAGGGACCTCGGCCCCTGGAACCAGCGCGGAGTCCCCCGCGAGTCTCACCCGGGGGGCCGGGCCGCTCGCCTCCCCGTCCCGCCCGTCCGCCTCCCTGGGCCGCGTCGCCATCTTTGTTGGCTGGGGCCGCCGCCGCCGCCGCTTCCCCGAGATCGCCTCCGCCGCCGCTCTCCTCGCCTCGCCTCTTCGCTCCTCGTCCTCGCTCTCGCGCCCCCTCTCACTGCTCCTCCATTTCTCGCTCCTCTCCCTCTCTTCCACCTCGTCTCGTCACCCTCCTCCGCTCGTCGCGCTGCTTGCTGGTGATGGTGGTGAGGCCGCACCCTTCTACCCCCGGGGTGAGGAGGAGGGCGAGGGGCCACCACTCCTCCTCCTCCTCGTCCTCCTCGTCCGCTTCCTCGTCCGCTTCCTCCTCCGGCGCCTCTTCTTGTCCTCCTCCACCTCCCGCTCCTCCTCCTCCTCCTCGTTCCTCTACGCGCCGCGCCGTGCAGCCATGCTCCGCCGCGCTGCGGTGAGAGGCGGTGGCGAGAGGGAGGAGAGGAGGAGGCGGCGGCTCGCGGAGCAGACGACGAGAGGCGCGGCGATGGCGCGGGCCGCCCGCCAGGCGGCGCTCCACCCCCCCAATCCACCCTCCCCTCAATTCACCCCCCGCCAGATCACCCCCCAAATCAACCCCCCCCAATTCACCCCCACCCCCCAAATCAACCCCCCCCCCAATTCACCCCCCGCCAGATCACCCCCCAAATCAACCCCCCCCCCAATTCACCCCCCGCCAGATCACCCCCCAAATCAACCCCCCCAATTCACCCCCACCCCCCAAATCAACCCCCCCCCCCAATTCACCCCCCGCCAGATCACCCCCCAATTCACCCCCACCCCCCAAATCAACCCCCCCCCCCAATTCACCCTCCCCTCAATTCACCCCCACCCCCCAAATCAACCCCCCCCCAATTCACCCCCCGCCAGATCAACCCCCAAATCAACCCCCCCAATTCACCCCCCGCCAGATCACCCCCCGCTAGATCACCCCCCAATTCACCCCCACCCCCCAAATCAACCCCCCCCCCCATTCATCCCCCGCCAGATCACCCCCCAATTCACCCCCCCCCAAATCAACCCCCCCCAAATTCACCCCCTCCAAATCACCCCCACCCATTAACCCCCCCCCCCCACAATTTCACCTCCCCAAAATTCACCCCCCCCCATTTACCCCCCTCCCCAATTCATCCACTCCCCCTCAACCCCCCTCACCCCGCCCCCTCCCCCTGTGACTCCTCCTCCCCCCTCTGGCTCCTGGAGCAGTCAGGCTGATGACAAAACCCAACACTTTGGTAAATCACGCTGCCTCGCCTGAACATGAACACGCATAACAGGCGGTGTTTCATAATACATTATACATCATCATTTGTTTTTAGTTTAAAGTCACCAGTGCGAATGACGAATTTGTTGAGTTTGTTTTGTTGTTAATTGTTCTTGTGCCAACGCCGCAGAATCACCATTATAGGTTGGTGAAGATTCATTCGCAGACATTAACAATATCCCCATGAGCTATGAAGCTCTTTCTACTATGTCCAGCTCAAGCTGGGGTCGTTATATCGTAAACTCAGTCGTACGTAAACTCGATCAAAACAACGATAGGGGCCGTCCATAAATGACGTCACGCGATTTTGGAGATTTTTTACCCCCCCCCCCTCGTCACACGGCGTCACAAAAAGTCAGACCCCCCCTCAAATATGACGTCACAAAGCTCTGCCCCCCCCAAAAAAAAACACATGCTTCAAATCGCTTTAAACTATTGTCATTGTAGTGCGTATTTAACGTGGCGCTGCACTCTGATGTTGTAGGAGAAAACATTTATTAAAAAGTCTATTTAATTAAGTAGAACGTGTCGTCTATATTTATTTAAAGTTGCGCATTTTGATGTGACGTCACATTTCTCACCCCCCCCCTCGTCACACATCGTCACAAATGTCTTACCCCCCCCTAGGTGCGTGACGTCATTTATGGACGGCCCCATACAGAAGCACAGCGATTAACATATATTATACTCATGATAAATAACACTTGCACATTCACAGTTCGCAAATCACAGTTGCAAATGTGACCGCAGTTGACATCGAAAGTGAGTTGCATGTCTCGAGGGTGAGTTCACCAAGCGGGAGGGAGGCACGGCGCGAGCTTCGAGACAGATTCTGGTTAGCGGGACACTCAACAGACAAGCTGATGGCCGCCTTAGACACCTCCTCGAGTTTGCCAGCAGTGTTCAAGTGTGATTCATGATTCAGCACTCGCTAATTCACTCCGAATCAAACTATTTATCTTGTGATGCTGCATTGGCAGTGGCGCACAAGCACTATTAATCCACACTATTTTTTTTTATTTTACCAGGTTAGGCCCACTGAACAATCTATTTTGTTTTTCAGAAGTGACCTGGCCAAATATAATAGCTCAACGAAGTGGCTTATCACGTGGAGATTGTATAGCAGCCAAATACTCTGAAAGCATGTTTCGAAATGTGGAGGGGAAACCCCCGCAGGAAACTCCACCACGGGGAGAAAATGCAGACTTCAACTATACAGGCGTCAGGGTAGGGATCGAACCCACGACCTCCTGCATATCGGGAGAGATAGTTAACATCTCGCCATCGTGACGCCCCGACAATTAAATTAAAAGCATAATTAAAATAAAATATATAAAATAGGTGACGTTTTGGGAGATGACCCTTCTTCATAGCACATAAACAGAGATGGTAAAGAGGTGAAGTTAATAAGAGTTGGACATTTTACACCATGGAGATTGATTAGAATGACATGTTTTAAATGTTTTCTGATACCCAGTTTAAAATGGAATATGAATCGTGACTTAATAGCTATTGAGTAATAGACAGCCCCTTGAATAACCACAAAGTAATACTCCTAAAGAGACTCAAGATACAGGACTGGGTTCCAGTTGTCCTGAAAATATCACCCTTCAAAACATGGCTATAAAAAGATAGTCCTTAATGCCCATGTCTTAAGGAGCAACACAAGCAATGGCAAATGTTTTGTAAAAAAAAATGTGCCTTCGGTGTGCGTTCCAATAAAACACAAAACCTCAGGGAGCTCGAGTACACCTGTGAGTTCACAGCTCGGTCGACCAGACACGGACTATATCGTCTCACCCACACTATTCTCACTCACCACACTGCAGGCCCCCACAACACACTCATCCATCCATCCACCCACCCACTCATCCACCCACTCATCCACCCACCCACTCATCCACTCACCCACCACTCAACCACCACACTGCAGGCCCCCACAACACACCGACCCACCCACCCACTCATCCACCTACTCATGCACTCACCCACTCATCAACTCACCCACCACTCAACCACCACACTGCAGGCCCCCACAACAACCGCCATTCGCCACTAAGTGCCGGTGACGTCACCATGACGCTTGTGCCAGGCCATGTGCACCTTGAGGCCACGTGAAGTGTCGAACGCCCGCTGGCAGGAGGTCACGGGGCAAACCCAGGTGCCACAGGTTGACTGACTGAGATGACCGAGATGACTGGCTAATGCACCACCTGTGCCCGCTACTGTGCCAACCTGCTATGCTTTAGCCACCCGGCGCTCCGCTCATTGTTGTGAGCGTCGCTCCTCCGCCCTCCGTTGTTGTTGGAGAGCGACTGCCTGCAACTGCCCAGTGGCGTCCTTCACGAGCCTCCTCCACAGAGGCTGATCTTGACACCGCTGGTACCAGTCATCGGCAAGTCCACTCAGCTCCACGTCCTCCTGTACCACATCACTCCATCTCTTCTCTAGCCCGTGCCGCGCCCGTTTAGCCCCCTCGATCCGGCCGAACAAAAGCTGTTTCAGCATGCGGTGGCTGGGCATGCGGGCTACATGACCCAGCCAACGCAACCTTGCCTGCCGGAGGAGCTCACCGATGGGACCTTGCCCAGATCTTTCAAGGATTTGTGAGATCCTCACACAATCCAGCCTGGTTAAACCCAGGATGGATCGTAGGCAGGCTAGCCTAAATGTTTCTAACCGGCGAAGATGTTCCATTAAGGGGGTCTACGTTTCGCAAGCGTAGAGAAGGGAGGGAATGACCGTGGCCGAGAAGACCTGAAGCTTAGTGCGGAGCGACAGACCAGGTAGCTTCCACACAGCGTTACGCAACCGATGAAAAGATATTGCCGCTCGACTGATTCGGAGGGAGACCTCTGCTGTTAAACTGGAGCCGGTCATAAGCACACTGCCCAGGTATGGGAAACTCTCCACTCTCCACAACTGCCCCATCACCGATTGGGAGTTGTGGGGGTGGAGTGTCCGATGGTACAAAATATCCAGACAGGTGCTTAGTTTTGGTGGGGCTGATGGTAAGGCCCCATCTCTTAGTGGCACGCTCCAGTCTCAGCAGCAGCGTCTCCAACTCCTCCTCTGAATGAGCAGCTATTACCAAATCATCGGCATACATAACGTGGTTGAGCAATAGGGAGCCATCTTTTGACCGCACCCGGGCATCAATCAGCCTCCCATTATATCTGTACCAAATGGAGATTCCTCCAGTACAGCTATTGAAGGCTTCACGAACTACGTGGTCAAAATAGATGTTAAATAATGTGGGTCCCAGAGGACATCCCTGTTGCACCCCAAGGTGTACAGGGAATGACTCTGACTCCCGGCCACGTAGTTTTACCCGGGCCCGCTCACCATCATGAAGGTCCTTAATGATCGTGAGCAGGGGGTCAGGGACTCCAAAAACACGAAGAACAACCCAGGTCTACTGATGGTATCATAGGCCTTGACCAGGTCAATAAAGCAGAGATGTAGGTCTTGTTGGAATTCCCTACACCTCTGCTGTAGCAGACGGACAGAAAATATGGCATCTGTGTAGGACCGCCCTTTCCTGAAACCGCATTGGGGCTTCGCAAGCCTCTCCTCTGCGTGCCTGGCAAGGCGATGTTGAATAATCCTTGCCAAGACCTGTCCCGGCACACTGAGGAGTGAGATGCCCCTGTAGTTGTTACAGTGTGTGCGGTCCCCCTTCTTAAAGAGGGGGACCACCAGGGCATCCTTCCAATCCTGCGGAACCCGTCCAGTGGTCGAGACTGTTGTTATGATGTCATATAGGGCAATCTGTGCACAAACGCCACCCTCCCTCAGCATTTTGCTTGGGAGATCATCTCTGCCCGGTGCCTTTCCTGGTCTCAGACTCTGGATCGCCTTCAGTACTTCCTCAACAGATGGCACCTTAGCCAGCCACTCACAGGGGGTGAATTCTCCAATATTTGAGGCACCGCAGCCTCAGCAGGGTCATCCCCACTTTGTGCCACGATGTTTTCCTGGTTGAGGGGTTTCCCCTCCCAGAGGACCTCACAGAAATGCTCAGCAAATCTGCAAACCTGTTCCTGGGGGTCGGAGATTGGAACACCGTTTTTCCCCTAATGATGGTAATAGGTGTGGCGCTGCAGATTACTTTTTTGTTGGAGTTAAATAGAGATTTGTGATCGCGGGCCACTGAGGCAGACTCCATCTCCTCAGCAACCCGCGACCACCACCCACCCTTCCAGCGCCTCACGGCTCTCCGAACCTCTGAGCGAAGGCTGCGGTAAGCCTCCTCATTCTCTGACGTGGGATTCTGTAGCCGATGACAGTGGGCCTGTTGCTTTTTCTCAACTATCCTGAAGACCTCCTCTGTCAGCCAGGGTCTCTGGGGAGGTCTGGACCGCGTACCCAAAGCAGCCATTGCAGCTGCATGGGTCACAGTCCTAAACCTCGCCCATTTACCCTCGACATTAGGAGGAATGGGGGACGATGCCAACCCCAGCCGCAAGCGATGATGTAATTCTCGCTTGCAACTTTAATCAGCTAATTGAGACCAGGCCACTTTAGGTTGGAATGGGGTCCTGGGTGTGCAGGCGCATCTTACAGATGACTAGTCGATGGTCAGAGGGCAGATCAGCTCCACGGTAGGTCCTGGTGTCAAGGACATGGGCTCGCATCCGCTGGTCCGTCACTATGTAGTCCAGCAGGTGTTCTTGCTTGAACCCAGCATGCATCCATGATGTTGTGTGGATGCGTCGATGCCGGAACAGCATGTTGGTAATTACAAGCCCATGGGCTGCACAAAAATCTAGCAGCCTCCTACCGTTGTTATTGAGCTGATCTGGCCCATGCCCTCCAATCACTCCAGATCAGGTGCCAGCATCATGACCAATTCGGGCATTGAAGTCACCCAACAAGATGACTCTATCCCGAGGGGCCACTTTAGCCATCACCTGTGACAGGAGTTCATAGAAGGCATCTGACTCATTGGCTTTGCCTGCATCCCTTCACGGATGTTCGTCTTCGGTGGGGGCATAAGTAACCACGACCACCACTCCTCGCCTCCGGTTGATGGGGAGGCGAGCCCAAAGTAGCCTGGGGCTCACAGCTTCCCACACCTCACCACCACGCTCCCACGCACCCTTCATTCTTTTGTTCAAAAGAAGAGCCACACCCTGTTGTTTGGCAGTCTGCTGCCCCGAGTAGAAGACTGTCCACCCCTCATGGTGGCAGGAGCAAGAACCGGTCCACCGGACCTCCTGAATGCCACAGAGATCCAGGCGGTACCGGTCCAGCTCCCGACAGAGGAGTGGCAGCCTCTCCTCCGCAGTGAGCGTTCGAACATTCCACATGGCCATCCGTAGTGGCTTTTCGTTGTTTCTGGAGGAGCCCAAGGGTAGCCAGGAGATTCAATCTCCTGGCTCCGCCAATTGGGGTTTGGCCAGGAGACGTTATAGACGCCTGTCCTCTCGGGGCCTCCGGCACAAGCTTATTAGTTATATATTTAAGTCGTGGTTTCGTGGTCACACACTTATCCACCCACCCACTCACCCACCCACCCACTTATCTACTCACCCACCACACTCCAGGCCCCAACAACACACTCATTCTCCCACTCATCCACCCACCCACTCATCCACTCACCCACTCATCCACTCAACCACCACACTCCAGGCCCCCACAACACACTCATCCACCCACCCACTCATCCACTCACCCACTCATCCACTAACCCACTACTCAACCACCACACTGCAGGCCCCCACAACACACTCATCCACCCACCCACTCACCCCCTCATCCACTCACCTACCCACCACTCAACCACGACACTGCAGGCCCCCACAACACACTCATCCACCCACCCACTCACCCACTCATCCACTCACCCTCTCATCCACTCACCTACCCACCACTCAACCACGACACTGCAGATCGCTAATAATGAGTTTGCTTCATTCAAAAAACAAGTTAACTAGGTGTATTACAACTTTGATGGTGTTGTTTATTGCTGGCCGCTCGACGTTGTTTGGCCGTTAGACCCTGTGCTCAGCAGCTACGTTTAAATCAAACTACCTTTCTCTAAATAAATAATCAATGCCTCGAGTTTCCTGGCTGACTGCTTGCTGGGCTCCTCTCCACGCGAATAGTAACTATTGTTAGAGGCTGCGGGCCGTTGCTGGATAACTGACACGGGACAATCCGTGTAACAAATAGACGCTGATTTGCATTTAAACGACGAAAGAAGTTCGGAAGACATAACAGATAGCGACACCGAAGAGGTGGGATTCACAAGTCATTTAAAATTGCCCTACGTTTTCAGATTGTGCTCCTATTCATGTCATTCTTTCTCCAGATAATATTTTCAATTTATTTTAGGGAACATTAAACAAACTTCACAATATTGTACATATTATCTTAGTAGATTATTATGACATTAAAAGGCAGACTATTTTTTGTGCTCCGAGTACAGGAGGAGTGTTTTCGCTGCAGTCACGGGGTTGCCCCTTGGCCCCGAGGCGCTCGCTCGCTCTCGTTGCTCGGGTTGCTCACCTGCACGTGGTAGCCGCCAGGGGGCGCCTGGACATCGGCTCTGGAGGATCGAGCAGGCGACAGCCAAGACGGTCCACGGCACGTACACACCCAGGAAAGCCTCACCGAGTCTCAAGACTCTTTTTTAGGAGGGTCATGCTGCATTCGGATCTTGGGACAATTCTAATAATAGGTGATGGCTTTCGTGTGAGTTTATGGTTCTGTGTGAGTCTAGGGGTCTCAACGTGAATTTGTGCGAGCCAATGTGAGTCTATGGGTCTCTGTGTGAGTATATGGGTCTCTATGTGAGTCTGTGGGTAACTTTGTGAGTCTCTGAGTCTCTATATGAGTCTGTGTTTCTCTGTGTGAGTATATATGTATATGTGAGTCTTGGGTCTCGATGTAAGTCTGTAGGTTTCTATGTAAGTATTTGGGGTCTCTACATGAGAGAGATATCTATAGACTGTGTGAGTCTATAGATGTCTCTGTAAGCCTATGGGTTTCTGTGTGAGTCTAGGGTCTTTGAGATTACTGTATATGGGTCTCGATGGGAGTCAATGGGTCTCTATGTGAGTCTGTGAGTCTTTATACGAGTCCATGGATCTCTATGTGAGTCCATGTGTCTCTTGTGAGTCTGTGAGTCCATGGGTCTCTGAGTATGTGGGTCTTTACGTGTTATCAATCATATCGGGTTTGAACCCCTTCAATGACTGAAGCGCAACGTTCAAAATATTTGCTCAAAATATTTTGGAGGCCACAACATGTAATTAGTTTAAATAGGTGTAGAGTTAAAAGAACGGACTTCACTTTATGTATCAAATGTCAACTCTCTACCCTTTCTGGGACATAATTATAATTACTTCAGATGATAATTTGCATCGTTGTGGAGCATGTAACAAGACGCAGAGGTTTCGCCTCCTTCCCAAATCTGCACCTCCACAATAACAGCTCCATACCCGCACTGCACCAGCTGGTTACGAACAACCAGCGGCTGTCATGAATATAAATGAATCTCTCGTGCATCCGGGGTAAAGTGATCACTTTATTAATAGTAACGACACCTATAATATTATAAAGTATGTTATCACAAATGGCTCTCAGGGTTTAAGCACGCGCCGCGTCACTACTGCGCCCCATCTGCCTCTGTTCCACTGACCATGAGCAGCCCTATTGCCACTCCTCTACACGCTACAGGCACCAGGCATTAGCCAACTTGTGAGCGTACAGGCCGGAGGCAGCTGGCTTCGAGCCCAGATGCCAGTCCGCTTTGCAATCAGAATAGCCAGCCAAGTGTACCTCCTGTATGAGGTCACACACAGTGCCCGACTGGCTCTGTTGGTCACACTTGGATACAAATATTAAAAGCAGTTGATTCTAAGTGGTCGACTTTCTCGACTCGTCTAAGCTCTTCCCGTGCTGCCGTCATACAATTATCATGATCTATACCACCGATCATTAGCGTCCTTGTTGAGAATATAACTGAACATAAAATTCGCCTCCACACACAGTACATGTCTCTCCAGTCACACGGTCTTCAAGCAAGCCTCACTGCCGATGAGACAGGCTTGCCTCCACGTATACTTCTGTGTTGAACGAGGACTCCTATCCAACGCAGTCGGATGACCTCTATAAACATCTGGCAGGTCATCCATATTGATCCAAGTAAGCCTAAATGCTTATTAAACACTGAATGTCAAAACTCGTCCGGAGTGTTGCTTGTGTCGAATCAAATTCGCAGGAATTATGCATTACCGAAATCTTGAATACATGTGTGAAACATACCTTTAGCTATAGGAATAGGTTTTACCCTTTTAACTGGCACAAAAAACTGACACCTTTATTCAAGGCATCATGTTTGCAATAACCACAACACAAGCAGTCAAAATGCTTGTGTTGTGGTTATTGCAAACATGATGCTTTGAATAAAGGTGTCAGTTTTTGTGCCAGTTAAAAGGGTAAAACCTATTCCTATATCTTGTTTCTGGCAAAAGAGGTATCATAATATAAAATAAAATACCTTTAGCTCTCTGGCCCTTCTAATGTGGAGGAGGGACAGATGTATGGAGGCATATTTTTGATTTTTTTTATATATATATAAGATCGTTCGGTTTCTTTACACATCATATCTCTACATATCATATCACGTGTGCATCACCATATACACAATTCACGAGGTCACAGCAATTGCAGACAGATGTCAAGCAATTAAGCATCGTAACAACGGTTCTGCAGAAATGGCAACACGTGATTTGTTTCCTCTCATGAACGTTATGTTCAACCACCACGCTGTAAGTCACAATCCTTCTCTTCCTGCATCTTCCCTCGCACCACTCCACGTTGGAATTCCCTCCCATTGTCTGTTGTCCCACGCTCCTATGATAACCTTGCCCTAATCAAGACACGTGTTAACTCTTATCTATTACAATTCTGACGGTGATGTTTGTTGCATGGCCGCTTGGTGTATTGGGCCTTTTGCGCCTTGTGCTCGGCAACTGGTCTCAGAGTGGCTGGGTACTGGAGCAGCCACCAGGTATGTAGTGACTAGAGCCCTCATATCGGATAGCATCACCTGTCTGGCTTCATCATCGTCAGCCATAATCAATCCACTGCTAGATCAAGGCCTCCCCAAGCTGCAAGTCTGGCCTAACAGGTTGAACTAACATATGAGCATGCTTTAATGAAATATTACAATACCAGAACCAAAAAGCACAACATTTGCACAACCTCCACCACCAAACATAGCCAAAGAAATCCAATTGTCACGTGTATAAGCGCTTAACACACACCAAATATTCCGTGAGCTCGCCAGTCAGTTAAAGAAGAAGTCTTGCAACCACGGTGAAATTGCGCCAATCATCTATAGAACACTCCATAAAGCAGAAATGTTGCCTTGATTTTATTCCTGGATTTTCTTGATTATGTTGGTTGCGAGAATTCTTAAACTCACCAGTGAGCTGAAACGCTTCTAATTGGAGCGTTGTTAAACGCTTGTACACGCAACAGTTTCATTTGTTTGGCCGTGTCGGATGATGGGAGGGTCTTAACTACACAAATTTGGTCAGATATTTACGTGGCCACACCCAAACAATCATTTACGAATCATCATAATATTGGCTGTAAAAAACCTGGTACGTGTTAAATTTGCACAGACATTACTAAAATAACGCGTGAGAACTGTTGCGCATGACAATGGTGTGGATGGAGGTTTAATAGTGGCTACGAGGTGTGGGGATGGGAGAATGCTCGCTGGCTGGAATTTCACTTCTTTAGATGTGCTCCTTCTTGGTGGATTCGGTGATCACCTGCACAGTCGATCACACACACGCACATTTTTGTAAAAAAAAATACATAGCAACACGAGTAATCTGCTTGGCACAGCATTCTCATCTGTGCTGTTATGGAACAGCTGTGTTACTCATCTGGCTAAAGAAGCTTGGTTTTCTTTTTAGTGACAAAGCCTCTTTAACTCCAGTTATTACTGCTGCTAAACAAAGCAAATATTGGGCCGAATCTGGAGCTCAGCTGCTGTCACGCCATGGGTGGAGCACCCAGTTCCTGCCCCGCTACACTCGGACAGAGTTCAGAGTGAAGCAGCAGTCAGGTTGATTGACGATCCAGCACTCGCCGATTCATTCCAGTCACTCGGTCACCAGCGATCAGTCACCTCCTTATCACTCTTCTATTACCACCGCCATGGTTACTGTTCCCGTGAACTTCACCGGTGTGGGTTTCTACCACCACACTGGAGGTCTGTCCACTTATCTCTCTGCTTCTTCCCCGCACTGCTGCACTAAGGAATTCCCTCCCATCATCGTCTCTTTTCCCAAAGCTATTCTAATAACCGTGCTCAATTCAAGATGCGTGTTAACTCTGTATCTATTATGCTGTTTGTTGCTGGTCACTTGACGTTTAGGGCATTTGGGCCTGTGCTCAGAAATAATGTTTTAAAAAACACATGGCTTATATGCATCGGCGAAACGTCCATAATTAAGTCCAGGGGTGTAACGGCGGGGTATGCGGCAGCGTTATGCGACGCATAGGGGCCCAGTCCACCACAAGGGGGCCCCGAATCAACAGATCAACAAGTAAAACATGTTAAGGCAAATAATTAAAAAAAATCATGAAAAATTACCAGCGGTCTACCGTGGACCAAGCCAGATTAACGCATCTGGCTTTCGTATCAATAGAGCAGCATCAAGTTGCACGATCCACCCCTTTGACGAAATCCTAGTTCAGCATGAAATCAAGACGCACAATAACTTAATTGTGAGTATTGCACCTTTACATATTTTATTATTAATAATACTGTCATTGTGAGACTGTCTTCCTCCACACCCAATACACGGTGCAACTTAAATAATATATAGTTATAGCCTGACATGTAACTATATATAGTATACGGGTTAAAAACATCCGTAGCTATTTCAGTAAAAGTGAGTCGGGAGAAAGTAGGGGGGCCCACAGTCGTAGCTTGCATAGCCCCCCTAATGAAATTGGTAGCTGCATACATAAGTCCCACACCACGTATATCTATACACACGGCCTGCACAGGACAGCGCTTTGTTATCAGCGTCTGTGGCCAACATTACGTTATTAAAACAAAAAAAAAACCTCAAACACGTTCGGTAATAACGCTGCAGGTTTCAAAGGAAACAAAACATAGGCTAATTTTGGGCAATGGCCCGAACATGTATACCTCTGTGATCCTAATCAAAGAATGTAACAAATAAACATCTGACAGTTCATCAGCATTGGTTCAAATCAGCCCAACTCTAATGATGAGACACTGAATGTCAAAATCGGTCCAGAGTTTGCTTGAATTGAACCAATGTTGCCTCCATTATGCACTCTCATAAGGCGATTTGGTTGATCGGATGTATAAAAATATCTTATTTTTCATGCTGAGGGACCAATATGTGTGCTTTGTCTGCTTTAGTACAGAGCTACTCACCTCGCCATCGCGCGTCTCAATCGTCTTGATGAGCACAGTCTTCTTGCTGTACACGTCATGGGATGGGTTGGACTCTGAGAAAGTAGATCGCAAGTCAGTCTCGTCAACAACACCACAGGCAGCCGATTCCACCCTCCAGCAGCTCGCAATCAGAAGGTTGCGAGTTCAAATCCTGGATGGGGGTCGACTCAGTCCATCGTTATCCCCCCTCTGGGGTCCATAACATGAGTACCACGTGGCGGGGAAGTCAGTAGTGAGCCTACCGATGGGTAGGCTAACTACTGTCACAGGAATGTGGAATTTCCAGCACTGGCTCATTAGTGCTGTAAACGGGACATGTGCAGGCGATCACTCTCGCTGCCACATGTAAGTAGCCTGGTGTGACTCTTCACCAGTGCAGAAGCCTGGCTCACCAGACCTCCCCTATCCACACATCGTCACACATCGTCAGACGTGGTATCCTGCTCGGATGAGTTCATATTGAGGTGGTGCTTATCTCCTATTTATAGACATGATGAGCTGTTGGTGGAAATTCCACATTCCTATAATAGGGTATATACTTATAGGTCAACCACTGTTGACTTTCCCACAGAGTGGAAATAATTTGATCACCCCCAGAGGGAAGAAGGGCCGAGCCAACCCACAATAAAGGTAAACATTTACCCCCCACCCCCTCCTCAACTCAACATCTCTCATATTCTTGGTTCTTTCGGTAAAGTCACGTAGAAGGGAAACAATAAAATAATAAAAATATAAAACAATTACATTCTCACGACGTTTCGACTGCAACATAAGCAATCATCATCAGGTGTGAAAACAACAGCAAGAAAAGTTGAAAAAAAGTGGCGGTTATTTTTAACGTTAGCACCACGGAGAGCGATTTGACAGTTTGTTCAGATGAACGAGTCCATCTATGTTCAGAAAAGAGGAGGGGGGAGACGAAAATAATGGATGCGGTCTGAAAGCCACCGTAAGCGTGAACAATCAATTAAGACCCGAAATGGTTTATCAAATCCTTCCAATGATTGCTAAGCCAGAATCCATATTCTCGGTTGAAATTGTCTCTGTGTTTGTATATGTGGATATAGCCTCATGAACGAATCTCTCATGGTAGCCAAATGGCTTGCAAAGAACCTCTGTCTTGGAGAAGTCAATGTCATGTGAGCCTACTGAATTATAACAGTGATCTGCCATGGCCGAGGTGTTGGTCCTACCGTGTTTTAGGTTTGTTTTGTGTTCACGAATGCGGTCCGAGACATGTCGTTTGGTTTCTCAAATGTAACTACTACCACAGAGGCAACTTAGTTTGTAGACGCCAAGGTACTGTATGTCCGGAATCACATCTTTTACAGACGGAACCAGATCACGGATTTTATGTAATGTGTTGAATCGGACCTGGATCTTGTGTTTATTCAAGATTTTGGAGATCTTTTTTGTGATCCCCGCAATGTAGGGTAAATTGATGGTTTTGAAAGGCTACTCAAGAGGGTCCTTCTTCATGGTTGGAGTGATAGCTTTGCGGATTGTGTAGTCGGAGTAACCATTAGCCTTAAAAGCTTGGTGTACATGCTTGAGTTCACTGGCTATGTGTTCCTGGTCTGATATGCATTACCCTCTTGAGGAGCCTTTCAAAACCATCACTTTACCCTACATTGCGGGGATCACAAAAAAAATCTCCAAATCTTGAATAAACACAAGATCCAGGTCCGATTCAACACATTACACAAAATCCGTGATCTGGTTCTGTCTGTAAAAGATGTGATTCCGGACATACAGTACCATGGCGTCTACAAACTAAGTTGCCTCTGTGGTAGTAGTTACATTGGAGAAACCAAACGACATGTCTCGGACCGCATTTGTGAACACAAAGCAGAGCAGACCTAAAACACGGTAGGATCAACACCTCGGCCGTGGCAGATCACTGTTATAATTCAGTAGGCTCACATGACATTGACTTCTCCAAGACAGAGGTTCTTTGCAAGCCATCTGGCTACCATGAGAGATTCGTTCATGAGGCTATATCCACATATACAAACACAGAGACAATTTCAACTGAGAAGATAGATTCTGGCTTGGCAATCATTGGAAGGATTTGATAAACCATTTCGGGTCTTAATTTAGTGTTCACGCTTACGGTGGCTTTCAGACTGCATCCATTATTTTCGTCTCCCCCCTCCTCTTTTCCGAACATAGATGGACTCGTCCATCTGAACAAACTGTCAAATCGCTCTCCGTGGTGCTAACGTAAAAAATAACCGCCACTTTTTTTCAAATGTTCTTGCTGTGGTTTTCACACCTGATGATGGTTGCTTGTGTTGCAGTCGAAACGTCGTGAGAATTTTGTTTTATATTATTTTATTGTTTCCCTTCTATGTGACTTTACCGAAAGAACCAAGAATATGAATCCCTGCAGTCACGAAAGCTTTAATTCAAAATTCAACATCTCTTGTTTCACTCCAACAATAATCCTGCTCCACGGTGCGACAGGCACAACATTTTAACCGTCCCTAGAGATCAACCCCGCACAGGCACACTCAGACACAGAGCTGTTTCAGCATGGAACCATCTCCCAGACCCACTAACTCGTGCCGACAGTCCCAGCTGATTTAAATCGGTTATTAAAACTCACTCACCCAACGTCTGAACTGCGAGTAAATTCTAGATGAACCGGCCGTGTGCGCCATTTACTTATTTCTGTAGTTAACGTGTGTGTGTTTGACTAGGTGAGATATACGTTGCATTAAAGCACACTGTGTAAGTTATAGATGTAGAATGTTAGTTTGCGTATCGTTACGTAGTTGTTATGCGCGTGTGCATTGACACCCAGGACACCCTTCCTTACACGTGAGATGTTCCATCTCAAGGGATTTTCCACGTGCACTAGTTACCAAAAGTAGTTGAATCAAGACAACCCCTGGAAAACTATTTAAAGAAAAAATATTTAATACACAAACTCTATTTTTGTTGTAGTCAGAACATAAAAACTAAAATTAAGGAGACCCCACCTCTTATGTTGAAAGATCCGAGCTGCTGAATTGGTAGAGCAATCCTATGAACAGAAGAAAATACTTATACAATTAAAATACTTATGGAAAATATACTTTTATTCTTCATTTCAAGGGGCAGATAAGCGAGTGAGGCGCATTTCTTATTTATTCTGTTACTTACATTCTCCACGACGACCCTCGTGGTTATTTTGTATTGTGTATTAAATAGTTTTGCATCAAGGATGCATATCTAATTGAGGAAGGCCTTGCCTATAAACAGTTGTCAGCTCACCAGTATTGGTTCAAGCGAGCCTGACTGCTCATGAGACACTTAAGTGTTGAAACCTGTCGAGAGTTTGCTTGCGTTGAACCAATGTTGCTGAAATTATGCACTCCTATATAGAAGGCCGTGTGGCTGATGGGATTCGTATTTTATTTTATGTAGAGGAACAGATCTGGAAAAGAGGTGAATTATCTCCTTTCTAGTTACTAATTCTCCTTAATGACGTGAATAGTTATTTTGCGATACCTCCCCCGTTAGCTCCGTGTCCCTCAAGAACCCGTTGGGCCTCTCACGTGATTTCTCATTTCCATTAATGACTCTGTATGGATGAGTGCAAAAAGTCTCTCAAACGGAAAATCGGCACGGACACCACTCCCGTGTCACATGGCATAACTCAAAACGTGGCCACTCACCTGGTCTCCTCTCCCTCCAACAGCTTGCGGTAGGTGGCGATCTCGATGTCCAGAGCCATCTTGACGTGCAGCAGCTCCTGGTAGTCGCGCAGATGGCGCGCCATCTCGTCCTTGAGGTTCCCGATGTCGTCCTCTAGGCGCGTGATCGTGTCCTGGTAATTGGCCGACTCCACGCTGAAACGCTCCTCCATCTCTCGGATCTGGCGCTCCAGCGACTCATTCTGCATCGACGTGAGATCGAGATCATGAGGTCATCCTGGCCAAAGCCGCTGAAGCCACTGCACCTCCTCCAACGCTTTCTCTCCTCTGCCAGATTCCACATACGACATCTAATATCCGCCCTGCCAGTGTCCCACCATTTGGCCTCAGGCCTTCTCTGGTCGCCTGTCTTGGCAATCGGCCCTCCCCCCGTCTTGCCTGATCATATCCCACCATGTTCTCTTCCCAACCCCAAAGTTGCTTGGCTAGCCTTTCCCATACTGCACACATTCCCCACCCAGCGTAGCCGTTCATGCCGAATAACATCTACAACATTCCCCTGCCACCTTCTCTTCCGGACTTCTCCCTGGGCACCTGTGCTCAAATGCGAGTTACCATTCACTCAACAACAACAACAACAACCGCCATTCGCCACTAAGTGGCGGTGACGTCACCACGACGCTTGTGCCAGGCTATGTGCACCTTGAGGCCACGTGAAGTGTCGAACGCCCGCTGGCAGGAGGTCACGGGGCAGACCCAGGTGCCACGGGTCGACTGACTGAGATGACCGAGATGAGTGGCTGATGCACCACCTGTGCCCCCTACTGTGCCAACTTTCTGTGCTTTAGCCAAATGCGCTCCGCTCGTTGTTGTGAGTTTCGCTCCTCTGCCCTCTGTTGTTGTTGGAGGGCGACTGCCTCCAACTGCCCAGTAGCGTCCTTCACGAGCCTCCTCCACAGAGGCCGATCTTGACACCGCTGGTACCAGTCATTGGCAAGTCCATTCAGCTCCACATCCTCCTGTACCACATCACTTCATCTCTTCTCTAGCCCGTGCCGCGCCCATTTAGCTCCCTCGATCCGGCCGAACAAAAGCTGTTTGGGCATGCGGTGATTGGGCATGCGGGCTACTTTGCCGAGCCAACGCAGCCTTGCCTGCCGTAGGAGCTCACCGATGGAACTTTGTCCAGATCTTTCGAGGATTTGTGAGCTCCTCACACAATCCAGCCTGGTTAAACCCAGAATTGATCGGAGGCAGGCCAGCCTAAATGTTTATAACCGGTGGAGATGTTCCATTAGGGGGGTCCATTCACTCAACCAACCAGTCACCTCCTCACTCAGTCACTCACCCACGCACCCACCTACCCATTCACTCACTCATCCACCATGTTGCAGGTTAAAACGTTTATTTTTCTGCTTTTACCTCGCAGTGATCCACCTCGAAACTCCCAACGCTTAGAATAACCCTGCTCAATTCAAGAAAAGTTTTAACTCTTATTATCTTTAACAACTCTGATGGTGATGTTTGTTTCCGGTTGCTTGACATTTTGGGGCCTTGGGCCTGTGCTCAATGACTGTGTAAAAAAACCCAAGGTATGCGTACGGCGCCCTTGAGGGAGTCGATGTCGCACTGCTGCGCCTGGACTTGGCGGCGGTAGTCCATCAGCTCCTGCTTGGCGGCGCGCAGAGCCTCGTTGTTGCGCACGGCTGCCTCGCTCAGATCCAGAAACTGTCGCAGAAATGAGTTCAGATTATTACGTGGTCGAACCTGAAGCTGGATGAAGAATCCTCGTGTTTACGCGATTTCAAGGTGAATACACGGGGACTGATCGGCCAAAGCAGTGTGCAACACCGAAGCCAATGCCAGAGAGAGACTACAGCTGCGTCTTACATCGTGAGACACACTCATGGCTGAGGGTTTTGCAGTGAAACGTCACCAGTGAAATTATCCCTTCAACACTCCAACAACACAACATAATCATTGGCGTCATTGTAGAGAATTTAAGCAACAAAATACACGAACAAATATGCCTGTATGTATCTGTTCCTCCACATACAACACACAAGTATCTTTTAAACATCCCTCAGCCACACGGCCTTCGGGGAGTACATGAGTCAACTTTTAAAAAAATGTTTATTTACATGGCTTTCCACACGAATGTTAATCAACAGCTTTGATTTAAGCATGCAAAATCTGATTGGGCTTCAACATTAGAACTACTGCTTCTGATTTAACAGCCAGGTGGCTCAGAAGTAGAGTAAGTGGCTCATAATCAGAAGGTTGCGAGTTCAAATCCCAGTTGGAGGAGGGTTGACTAAACTCATCAACCCTCCCTTTGGGGTCGATCAAATAAAGTACCGTTTTGTGGGGAGGCAAACAGTGATTGCCTTATGGTTAGACTCGTCCCTGCCATAAGAATGTAACATTTCCACCACTGGCTCCGCAGGGTTGCAAAGAGGAGCCGAGCACTGGCTGACTCAATGCTCATAGGAGCAGCAGGACGCCTTTTGGGCCCAGTCGGTGAAGACAGCGAGGGCACCTTGGACTTGTACCACTCCTCCGCCTCCGCCACGTTCTTGGCCGCGATGCCCTCGTACTCGGCGCGGATGTCGCGCAGGGCGGCGGTGAGGTCGGGTTTGGTTCCCACGTCGTACTCCACGTGCACCGTCTGCTCCTGCACCTGCACCTGCACCTCCCGCAGCTCCTGGATGCGGGACGCCGCAGGCAAATCGGGGGTTTTGTATACAAGAAACGGTAACAAATATCAACGGGGACAAAATTAAGATAGGTCGGTAGTTATTTGGATCATCTTTAGGGCCCCCTTTGTGAAGTGGACGGACATAGGAATGTTTCCATTCTAGAGGAACTGATGCTTCTTTGATTGACAGGTTGAAAATATGGGCTATAGGTTTGTATATTAGGTGACCAACAGTTAGTAGAGCAAAGACGGGAATACTATCTGCTCCGGTAGAGGAGGACCCTTTGAGGTAGGACAGTTGTTTTAGAACATTACTTTCGTGGACTGGCTGGAAACTAAATTCGTTTAATGTTTGGACAGGGGTGTAGGAATTTGCATGAGCGGGGGTGACTCCCAATACATTATCAAAAAGATTACCAGCTTCAGAAAAATTAAGGATAAAATTGTCAACTATTTTTTTGGGATCTGAAAAATATTCCCCATTTTGGTTAAGCTCAGCGGGCAGATTGTCTGTTTTGGATGCCTTTTCGATACATTTGATTGTTTTCCAGAAAATTCTGGCATTTCCATGTGATTCCAGGAGAGTGGAGGAAAAGTATGCATTTTTTGCATGCCGTATTTTTTTGACGCATCTATTCCTTAAAATCCTGTATTCTAGCCAGTCATTGACCAAATTACTTTTCTGAGCACGTGCCCAAGCCTTGTCCCTAGTTTTCATGAACTTTGAACTCAAAGGATCAAACCATAGTGGGCGGTTGCCTTCAGTTTTAAATCTAACCAACGGAGCATGTTTGTTAAGAATTTGGAGAAACGTGTACCTGAAGGTCTTCCAAGCCATACTCAGGTTTGTGATATCACAGACCTTGTCAATATTCGAGTGAAGCACATCATTAGTAAATGCCTGAGTAATGAAGTGTCTCATAGAGTCCTTGTCAATCAAATTAGGGGGTGCTTTGGGTCTGGCTGATGATCTCACCCCAAAAATGAAGGAGTGATCACTAAGGCTATTACCCAGAACACCAGTCAGTGTGAAATTGTGAGGGGCATTTGTCAATAGGACGTCAAGCAGAGATGACTGTCCCGGGTTTTTTAGGTTGGGTCTTGTGGGGACATTTATTAATTGAAACAGATTAAATTCATCTGCAAAATTTGTGGTCACGGCCGACGGATTTAGCCAATTCCAATTTAGATCACCCATTAAAACTATTTCACCTTTAGGGAGGCCCCCAAAAAGCTCTCTCAGTGCAGATGCAGCTTCAATATCCTTCCCACTAGGTGGTCGATAGCAGCACACTACCAATATCTGTTGATTATTTGGGAGAGTTATTTTGAGAGCCAGACCTTCAAAGCAACATTTTTTAAACAAGGAGTGAGCTAGTGAACATGCAATAGTATTACGAACATAGATGGCAATTCTACCTCCTTTAGATCCTTGGTCAAGCCGAAAACGGTTGTAGTTGTCAATCGCAATCTGCAAGTCATTGACGGCAGGAGTGAGAAATGTTTCTTTTAGGCAAAAAATGTCCGGGTCAAGATTTGCCACTTCTAGTTTTAGTTGACTTAATTTAATCACAAGCCCTCTGATGTTGACATGTAGAACACCAACACCTTTCCTGCCAGAAAAAATCTACAGAATTATACGAGTTCTTTTCATTTGGGCCAGGATGAAGCTCAATACCACCCAGAAATAAGAAAAATAGAATTAATAGTTTGCACAAGTATTTTCTGTGAAAGGATGAAGAGCGGCAAACCTTGGACGAATAACAGTAGCTCGTAGATGGTGTTATTTTTAAGAGCAGAATGAAGTTTGGAAGGAGTGCTGGTGAAGTAATGGGACAAAGATAGGGTTTAAAAGAATACAATGATGGAGTATAGAAGTGTCTATGAGCTGTTTCATTAGCAGGTGTAGTGGCAAATCGAGCAACAAGTATGGACGCAAAGTAACGAGGGTAGCTGTTTGTAGAGTTGAGCGTGGCACTAGATATGGCCGGGAGGGACAGCAGTAGGATACACAGCAGGAGAATTGCCATCTCTAAAATATCCGGGGTAAACACAGATTAACACACAAGTGGAAAAGAAAAAATATATATACTTGTAGGCCGAGGGCAAGAAAATGTCTTGCCGCATTCACCTTCAGCGAGCGCGATGCCAATCACACACGGTTCGAATTCGACTCTCGATCGATGGCTGCGCCATCGCCACACACGCGTCAAATAAAAAGCAAGGGACAAGTCCTTACTTGCTAACAACTCCGTTCATTTTTCATTACTGGATCGGTTGCCCCCCCCTACCTGAAAATCCTGGCTCCGCCATTGACGGTATTGCTTTTGCCCTTTTATTGACCGAGGTCGTTCTCTACCGCGGCGTCTTGAGCTCACACCTGGCCAAACAAGACCAACGTGACAACTCAAATGAGGCGCATTGTGCTCCGAGAGTGAGCCGCCAGGTGAATGCACATCACCTCATCGTGAATCTTTTTCAGGAACGCGATCTCCTCCTGCAGAGACTCGACCTTCCGCTCCAGGTCCACGCGTGCCAGCGTGGCATCGTCCACGTCCTGCGGTACGCGGGAACGTGGACATCATCGGCGGCAAATGCGCAAGGGTGCGCACGAGTGAATAACGACCTTCCCTCCTGTGAGTGCATTTTCTCAGCAGCGCTGGCTCAACGACGTCAACACTCTGGACCAGTCTCACATTCAGTGTCTCATTAGCAGATTCAGGCTTGCTTGAACCAATACTGGTGAACTTCCAGATGTCTATTGGCAAGAACTCTCTTATGTTAGATACGGGGCCGTGACTGCGTTGAATCAATGCTGCTGAAGTTATGCACACCCAACAGGCCGTGCGGCTGATGGGATGTGAAAAATACACTGTGCTGGAATTTATCGCGTGGAGGAACAGATATGTGCAGGAGGCAGATAGTCTGTTCAGCTGTTGTGTTGTAGATACTTGAGTTTGTTACACAAGACACCATACGTCTTTACTGCCCATTGCACAACGACATATTCGTCGTTATAGAGCAGGTTAATACTTTTATGGATTTTGAGTAATACTTCATAGCACTTTTACAGCACATGAAAATCTATCATCTGGTGCACGGCGGTCCACTGATTATTGCGAGCGTTGGTGGTGCCGTTATTTTGCAGGTTCAGAAATTCTGGGAACACTAATGTAAGCCGTGCACGTTACTCACTTGGCGGAAGGCCTGCAGGTTCTTCTCAGCTTCTTCGCGAGCAGCGGTCTCCTCCTGAAGCCTGACAGATGATGAATATGAGGTTGGTGATGCATTCAATAACCAACAATTATGATATTTCGAATCCCCGACATTCAGCGTCAGGCAACACAGCAATGCTATTTTGGTGCAGACTACCACCGCGTTCATACGTGTAGTAGTTATACTGAATGGTTAGTGTTTGTTAATCATTGGTTGAGGTACATTATGCATTCGTATTAATTTTCAAGGTTAATGTATATCTTAATTGTGATTGGTAGTTACTGTGAGGTTATGACCCTATTTAACGAGTCTGGTCAGCTGACACAGTTATTTTGGATTTCTGGCTTTTCCTGAAGTTGCCTGACGCAGAACGAAGCGGAACGTCGCGCATCCAACTACTGGATTTGGTTGTGAGATTTACTCTGCAGCTTCCCGATGAGCTCGGCGCATTGTTAAACATTGGCACACGTGACCCTTTCATCATTACTGTGGCTGTGTCAGGCGCGGGAGGCTCCTGGGACAGAAATATGGTCCCATCATTTCGCGGCCAAACCAGAAACTCAATGAAGAGTCCTCGTGTTTACGCGATTTCGAGGTGAATGCACGGACTGCTCGGCAAGAGCAGCGTACACACCGTAGTCAATGCCAGAGAGAGACTACAGCTGCGTCTAGCATCTTGAGACACGCTCATGGCTGAGGGTTCTGTACTGAAACGTCGGCACTGAAATGATCCCCCCAACACTCCAACATTGTGGAGAAAATAAGCAACAAAATAGACAAACAAACAATATGCCTGTATGTTCCTCCACATCCAACACACACGTATTTCTTACACATCCATTCAGCCACACAGCCTTCCTTATGGCAGTACGTACATTTTAGCAGCATTGGTTCAACACAAACACATTCTGGACCGGTTTTGACAGTCTCATCAGCAGAGTCAGGCTTGCTTGCACACACTGGGAAAATACCAGATGTTTATGAGCTAGGGCCCTCTCTGTGGGTTCTACGTTGAACCAATGCTGCTGAAATAATGCACTCCCCCAAGGCCGTGTGGCCGAGGAGATGTGTCCATAAATCCTTGTGTTTGTTACGTGGACGGATGGTCTGCTTGGTCATCGTGTGACTCGTAGTATTCTCCAGCAGCTCTGGTGTCACTCACCTCTGCTGCAGTCGCTGCAACTCGTCCAGAAGGTTGGCCCTCTCCACGTCTCCGCGAGCCTTCTCGCCCGTGAGCCGCTCCACCTGCGCTCGCAGCTCCCGCAGCTCTTGTTCGTAGAGGGGCCCGACCCGGGTTGGCTCTCGGCCCTTGAGCAGCGCCAGCTCGGCCAGCAGCGCCTTGTTCTGCTGCTCCAGGTAGCGCACCTTATCGATGTAGTTGGCAAAGCGGTCGTTGAGCTCCTGCAGCTCCACCTTCTCGTTGGTGCGCGTCGTGCGGTAGTCGGCGTTGAGCGCCTCGGCCAGCGAGAAGTCCACGCTCTGGCCGGGCATGGCCTTAACGTAGGAGCGGCCGTACAGGGAGGAGGCCACGCTGCCACTGCTGCCCAGGGCCATGGATCGCGAGGAGCGCACGACGCTGCTGCTGCTGCCCGCGTAGGAGCGCGACGACAGCGAGCGGGGGCTGTAGGCGCTGCCTGTGCCGAACGTGCGGCGGTACGACGATACGCGCTGCGAGCCCATGGCTGCGGAGGAGATGGACGAGGTGGACGAGGCGGATGAGACGAGCGAGGTGGAGCCGAGCGTCCAGAGAGCCCCCTCGGTTTGTCTGAGCTCCTCTTATAGGCACCCACAGCCCCTCCCACACCACCTCTTCGATCCGTGCAGCTCCGCCTCCTCCTCCCACCACCTCCTCCACCTCTCACCACCAGCAGCAGCTCCATGCGCCTCACAAACAGCATCGGCATTCGAGCTCCCCTCCTTGGGATGGACGCATTCCAATCCTTGGCTGCTACTACCTTATTATCATTGACCATCGTTCATCATCCCTCCTGGCCGAGGCGGGTTCCTGGCCAAGCCTCACTCCCTTCCCGTCATACCAGCTCATCCCATCATCACCAGTGACGTCGTGGACAATATAAGTGATGCACGTGTGTCCCTCCGCTTACGTTTCTTTTTTTCCACGTCATTTTCTAGTGTTGAACAGAGGCTGCTGAAATTATTTACTCCCGGGCCGTGTGGCTAATGGGATGTGTGGAAAAAATATATATTTACGTGGAGGATTGGATCTGTGAAGCAGGCATTGTCTGCTTACTTATTGTGTTTGTTACTCATGTGGAAGGCTACTTTGTTGCTGCTAAACATCTGAAGAGGCGTCTGCTACAGCAGTATCTGGACAACTTGTAACTGAGGTTGGGCCACGCAATGCAAGCTTTGAATTCAGGAGCCAACGCACAAATCAACGCATTGACGCCCTTCCCATCTCTTATGTAAACGCTTGGTGCCTCTGCCAAGCGTGCACTTCCAACACTTAAGCAACTGATGAAACGTTGTGTATAGCGTGGATTTAAGAGGAAAATGCGCATCCCTGCATCATATTGTTCACACTTCTGCTGATGAAATTGCCTCCAGTAGGCGCAGCTCCAGAGAGCCTCCCAGGGGGATATTTGGTCTTCTCGTCCATGCTCGCCAGACATCTGGGAAGAGGCGTGCGGGCATACCCACACTTGACCCCACCGCACGCGACCTGCCGATCATCGACTCTGCTGTACCCACTTACACTGCAGGGTGGACAGAGGTGGGAGGTGAGAAATTGAAGAAACGTTGCACCGTTGTTTCAACTGGCGTGCTGGAAGATGGAATTAAACCTGCGACCTCTGGATTGCAAGTTCAGTGTGTTCATCGTGACAACAATGTGGCAGCTCCCGCCGTGTCTCTTCCAAGAGCTAAACGCGTTGTGTTTGCTGCCAGACATTTCTATATGTGCGGCAAACTGGTTTTTTTACCGGGTTTTATGTTTATGCTGATAGCAGTGACGCAAACAATCTGGATGTAAACTGCCCAACTGAAACAAATCCTGAAAGGTCCGACTCGCGGTGGCGAGATGTTAACTGCAGGAAGTCGTTGGTTTGATCCCAACCCTGATGCCTGCTATATATATGGAGTTTGCATGTTCTCCCCGTGGGCGTGCGGATTTTCTCCGGGTCTTCCGGTTTTTCCCACCATATTTAGAATCAACATCACGCGTTTAGAGCATTTGGCTGCTATACATTTCCACGTGATAAGCCACTTCGTTGAGCTATCATTTGTGGCCAGGTCACTTCTCAAAAAAAGAGATATATAGCTCAGTGGGCCTTACCTGGTAAAATAGAAAATAGTTTTTTTTTTTTATAAACTCAGGCTTGGGCAACAGTAACGTGGACAGTGGTGGCCACCACGGTGCAAAATAAAATGCCAAACTCGGATTATACAACGTGAAAATGGACACAAGTGGCTCGGTGTGACAGGAATGCGCGCAAAGCTGAAAGAGCAAAACAAAATACAAGCGTGGCTTTCATCCAGCGTGGAGGCATCTGAGGAAGAGGGAGGATGGGATTGTGAATGGCTGGTGATTGTAGGCAGGTCGTGGGAACCTTCCCTGATCGTGATGAAACGTTTTCTCCATTGATAGGAAAGCCACAATGAAGCGAGGTGCTGATTTATATTACTGTCTGCAGTAAAACAAATCTCCACCTTTCTCCTCCCGTCTCGCCCTGTCCCGGCACCACGCGAGTTAGCGCCGGGATGCTGGCGCTCTTCTGTAGCGATGCGCCAGTGACTCGCAATAAACACCTCACCCGGTATCCCGGGCCCAATAGCGGCGCTGACGCGATGCAGTCATGCAGCAAGGCATGAAGACAATCAAGCCTTGTTTAGCGGTAGAATGGAAGTGGAGGGCATCATGGGGCCGGTGTGGGGGTGAGGAGCCGATTAATTTATTAGAGGCGGCTTCAAGCACCATACAAGAAAAGCTGCCCAGAGATGTGAGCCTCACCCACAATAAATAAGTAGACAATTCACCTCCTGTCCCTCCACGTAATTTATTTTTTACACATCCTATCAGCCACACGGCCTTAATTTCAGTAACAATAGTAAGAACACAATCTTGATTTGAAGCTTTCGTGACTGCAGGAATCCACACTCTTTGGTTCTTCCGGTAAAGTCACGTAGGTATAAAATAAAATAAATCTGCCTACGTGACTTTACCGCAAGAACCCAAGAGTATGAACATCGTCTGGATGAGGCGAAGCAGGCAGTCTGCTAGACCGAGTCCTCAAAATGGGTGGAGGAATCAGCGAGTCACAGGAATCGTAACGATAGAAGAGTGATAAGGAGGCAAATTATGCCCAGTGAGTGAGTGAGTAGAGTGAATAAGTGAGTCCTGGTTCATCAGTTACTCCGACTGCTCGATGTTGAATTCTATCGAGTGCAGTGGAGTTGGAACTGGGTGCTCCACCCCGGAAACGGCAACATTATAGCTGCTGCCGATGTTGCTGATGACATGCATACGATGTGTCTGCTGCCAGAGTTCCTTCTGCAGTGGTCACAATAACACGCTTATTAAGTGAGGCTATTTGAGGGAAACGTGAGTTCGCTTCACTGACCCCAACAGCACAGTGGTAGTCATGGCAATGAGCATTCCACCAAACCCCGCTGCCCAGGCATGAGGGCAAGAGTGCCGATGCAGAGATGTAGCAATGCCCATGCAGATGGTCAATTTAGATTAGCTCACACGGTGCGTTGGCATGGAGCACGATTGCTAACAAAATAAACGTGGTGTACAAACTGAAAATAATTGCTAAACTGGCCAGATAGCCCAGCGGTAGAGTGAGCGGCTGGCAGTTGGATGGTTGATAGTTCAAATTTTATTGCCTATGAAATTGGAATGTGGAATTTCCACCACTAGCTTATGGCTGTAAACAGGAGATGAGTACCACGTCAATACTTATTTTAGCAACAAATTGCCTTTTAATTTAATAAGTCACATAAGAAAATATCGGTCGAGAAATCCCATCGGCTGATAAGACCAGAAATTTAAAAAAATCAAATTTGGGAAGACAGAGGTCTGTTAATTTTATAACTCAAAACTACATTCTAAACACGCAAGACTTTTTATATACTATTTTTATTTTACCAGGTAAGCCCGAAGTGAGCTATATAGCTCTTTTCCGGAAGCTACCTGGCCACAAATAATAGCTCAACGAAGTGGCTTATCACATGTATTGAAGCCAAAACTCAAAACGCATCTTTATAAATGTGGAGGGCAAAACCGTAGGACCCAGAGAAAAATCCATGCGACCACGGGGAGAACATGTAAACTTCAAATAAACAAGTCTCAGGGTCGGGATCGAACCCACAACCTCCTGTATATTAAGTGAGGTATTTAACATCTCGCAATCGTGGCAAGATGACATTCCACACATGCTTGTAGCGTCCGCGAACCAGCGGCTCCCTCTCCACACGTGGCTCTCACACGAGTCACTCCACCTCCCCTCTCTGCCCTTGTCTTTCACTTTTCAAGGTTGTTTTGTTTAAACAGATGACGATTTGCATATCTGTTTGGTATAATGTGGGTACACCCACCTCTTCCAATACGTCTTGTCAATGTGGAAAAGTAGACCAAATACCTTCTTAGAGTTTTCTTTAGCGGGGTCCTTTCCTGAGCAGTGGCGGCGCTGCACCTTTACCTTTTATCACAGAAAGAAATGTGCTCAAATATGGCGGATGAGACCTTACACCTGCACCTGATGGGAAGTTGACCACTGGTGAAACTCAGTCTGATGCAGGGAGTGATCCCAGTGTAAAAGCAAAGTCAAAGTTACGTCATGCTGATCACATTTTAATTGAAGCAGTCGGTGCTCATCTCCCGTTTACAGCCCTGAGCCTTGAGTGACCATTCCACATTCCTATAGTGGGGGCACGTCTATCCATCGGATAACTACTGTTAACTCCCCGTCGCACAAAGTGGTGCTTATTTAATTAACCCCGGAGGGATCATGGACCGAGTCAACACCCCAACTAGGATGTGAACTCAGAACCGTCCAATTGTGAGCCACCTGGTTGGTTACAAAATAACACCAATACTTTTACCAACTGCAATTTACAAACGAGAACAGACATCAAAGCCGATATACTAACCCCAAACTCATCTGGCTCATGATGTTATCGACATGGGTTTTATACAAATGACCTGCCATATCCGTGCGCATCACCACCCCCCATATCCCATGCCATCAGCACGCATGCAGTCGCACACAATTTCACCGGCCCTCTGCGGCCTGCCTCCGATCCATCTAGGCCACCCACGCGCCATCGCGATCGCCCCCGCAGGCCTATCCGCCAGACTAACTAGGTCAGACATAAAATATGGATTGAAATCAACCAACATTTGAGCCGTGACATTGCAAGTCGTGCCCAGCCAATGGCGTACAAGGTCCTTTGCAACTACACTCGTGCACGCCACATTTAAAAATATCTGTTTATGTGTTAGTACATATTTGCCATGTATGTTTGTCTGGGTGAGTGCACACATGTGCAATCGGTTCACTTGAGAGGCACACTAATTCAGGAGGCAACACGTTTATTCTACGATCACAACGGGGTAACTACACAACCAGTAACCACCACGGGGTAACTATATAAACGGGTCAGATCAGTCGGCACACTGCCTGACTCACGATGCCGAGCTCGAAGACTGGAGACTGAGGAGAAGACGTAGCACAGCAGGTTCCATTCCAGGAGACAGCCCCGATGCGGCCCCGGGACCTCCGCCCTCGGCCACGCC